AGCAGACATGTTAATGTAACAACAAACAATGATTTAGCAAATAGTTCACAAATGTCAACAGACTATACACAGGCTATCTTTTCAGGTTGTTGCTGCATGTCCCATGACAGCACTATAAAGCTCTCATCTGTTGACAAGATGGATTGGTATAGTAAGAACTAGTGGCCACCTGTTGACAAGATGGATTGGTACAGTAAGAATTAGTGGCCACCTCTTGACCAGATGGATTGGTACAGTAAGAACTAGTAGCCACCTGTTGACAGGATGGATTGGTACAGAAAGAACTAGTGGCCACCTGTTGACAGGATGGATTGGTACAGTAAGAACTAGTAGCCACCTGCTGATAAGATGGATTGGTACAGTAAGAACTAGTAGCCACCTGTTGACAGGATGGATTGGTACAGTAAGAACTAGTAGCCACCTGCTGATAAGATGGATTGGTACAGTAAGAACTAGTAGCCACCTGTTGACAAGATGGATTGGTACAGTAAGAACTAGTAGCCGCCTGTTGACAGATGGATTGGTACAGTAAGAACTAGTGGCCACCTGTTAACAGATGGATTGGTACAGTAAGAACTAGTGGCCACCTGTTGACAGATGGATTGGTACAGAAAGAACTAGTGGCCACCTGTTGGCAGATGGATTGGTACAGAAAGAACTAGTGGTCACCTGTTGACAGATGAATTGGTACAGAAAGAACTAGTGGCCACCTGTTGACAAGATGGATTGGTACAGTAAGAACTAGTGGCCACCTGTTGACAGATGGATTGGTACAGAAAGAACTAGTGGCCACCTGTTGACAAGATAGACTGTTATAATAAGAACAAGTGGCCACCTGTTGACAAGATTGACTGAAACAGTGTGAAACAAACAAAGGCACTAGACCAACCAACTCCCTGTAAAACAACATTTATATGGCACTATTTGTTACTGGTAGAAAACAAGAGACTAGCCAAAGTCAGGCCAGGCTCATTATGCATATGTATATATATATGTATATTGAAATGTCATGATTAATACTGAATAATAGACCCAAAAAATGCCAACATGTCCTGCAATTAAACAGACCCAGAACTAGACTAAAGGCCCACTACTGCTGCAGTCTTCCTACAGATGACTGAATCAGTCAGTCTTCCTACTGGTGAAAAAATCAGTCAGTCTTCCTACTGGTGACTAAATCAGTCAGTCTTCCTACTGGTGAAAAAATCAGTCAGTCTTCCTACTGGTGAATAAATCAGTCAGTCTTCCTACTGGTGAAAAAATCAGTCAGTCTTCCTACTGGTGACTAAATCAGTCAGTCTTCCTACCGGTGACTGAATCAGTCAGTCTTCCTACCGATGACTGAATCAGTCAGTCTTCCTACTGGTGACTAAATCAGTCAGTCTTCCTACCAGTGACTGAATCAGTCTGTCTTCCTACCGGTGACTGAATTAGTCAGTCTTCCTATCAGTGACTGAATCAGTCTTCCTACTGGTGAATAAATCAGTTAGTCTTCCTACTGGTGAATAAATCAGTTAGTCTTCCTACCGGTGACTAAATCAGTCAGTCTTCCTACCGGTGACTGAATCAGTCAGTCTTCCTACCGGTGACTGAATCAGTCTTCCTACTGGTGAATAAATCAGTTAGTCTTCCTACCGGTGACTAAATCAGTCAGTCTTCCTACCGGTGACTGAATCAGTCTTCCTACTGGTGAATAAATCAGTTAGTCTACCTACCGTTGACTGAATCAGTCAGTCTTCCTATTGGTGAATAAATCAATCAGTCTTCCTACTGGTGACTGAGTCAGTCCTCCCACTGGTGACTGATTCAGTCAGTATACCTACCGGTGATTCAATCAGTCAACACTGACTCTGACCACCAGTCTTGCTATAGTCTGATAAATGTGGTCACCTTCTCCACCTTGTGTTAGTGTGAAATACTGGTCACTGGTATTGTGTGAAATACTGCCCCTTCCCGGTACTGTGTGGGGCATGCCCTTTCCGGTACTGTGTGGGGCACACTCTCACCTGACTGTGTGGGGCATGCCCTTCCTGGTACTGTGTGGGGCATGCCCTTCCTGGTACTGTGTGGGGCATGCCCTTCCTGGTACTGTGTGGGGTACACCCTCACGTGACTGTGTGGGGCATGCCCTTCCTGGTACTGTGTGGGGCACACCCTCACCTGACTGTGTGGGGCATGCCCTTCTCGGTACTGTGTGGGGCACACTCTCACCTGACTGTGTGGGGCATGCCCTTCCCGGTACTGTGTGGGGTACACCCTCACGTGACTGTGTGGGGCACACCCTCACCTGACTGTGTGGGGCATGCCCTTCTCGGTACTGTGTGGGGCACACTCTCACCTGACTGTGTGGGGCATGCCCTTCCTGGTACTGTGTGGGGCACACTCTCACGTGACTGTGTGAGGCATGCCCTTCCCGGTACTGTGTGGGGCATGCCCTTCCTGGTACTGTGTGGGGCACACCCTCACCTGACTGTGTGGGGCATGCCCACCCCAGTACTGTGTGGGAAATACCTGCCTCTGAATCAGGAGTGAAATGTCACAGCTTTGAGAGAAATCGGAAATACTTATCTGTAAACTTGAATGAAATACTTGCAGTTTATCTTCTGTGTCACGCATCAACATGAAAGAAAGCACATACTGTCGCTCCTACACTGTAAAATACACAAAGTGTATTTATAAATATACATATATTTAGATATTTCAAAATGACATATAAATATATTATAATGTACGAGATAAAAAATTTTCGTCATTTAAACATGTGAGAGTACATTTTAGACTATATATCAACAAACAACAATGAGAACACAGACTACGATATAACCAGCTTACACAGAGTTATCTTCTTCAACAAACAATAAACAGCAATATAAAATAACTGTTTACAAAAAGTTTTATGTAAATAAATTTTTTGTTTTTTTTTGTTTAAACACAATAAAGGCTTCTATGCTGGGATGAAAGTGAGAAGTGATTTCCCCAATTTTGTGCGAGATATATCTGTCCATTGTCCATGTCAGATTCCAATGGTCTGGAGACGATTTCGCTGCAACTGAGCTGTTTACTGTGGATGTACATACCACTATAGTGTTTGGGGACAATAATAGATGACATCAATGTTTGTCCCCTTAACCAGGACAAACAACAAGGTGAGACAGTGAGCAAGTTTACAGTTATGTGAAGCTGTGAAAAATAACATCTATCAACGTGTCATAATGTATATGCCAACATTTGGTGACATCTGTCAACATGTGATCATATTTGTGAACATCTGCCAACCTGTTCTAAATAGGGACTGCTAGCAAGTGACAAATGACATCTGTCCGCAAACGTACAGAAGAGCTGCTACTGGCCAGACTGACAGTGTTCCCGGTCATGTTGCTGTGTCCACCAAACACAAGTCAACATTTAACCCAGTTATCACAAGAAACGTACAACAGGTCCATTAGTTATCACCAGAAATGTATTACAGAGACATAAGTTATCACAAGACATGCATAAGAGGGCCATAAGTTATTGCCAAAACATAACACAGGATAGTAAGTTATCGCCTGAAATACAACACAGAATCACACATGTAACTGGGGATCACAAGTAAACATTACAACAGAATTCGGAGCCAACACAGCAATGATGCCCACTCTCTGCTCTCTAACTGTTCAAATCTCGATACAGTACTCAATGATTCCATAACACATGAAACCATGAGATCTGACACAACCTTCTATATTTACACACATGACATCAGTATGTGACATACGTACATGATATCATGAGATCTTACAGCCCACCTATATTACCTACCTGACATCTGTACATGACATCTGCAGTGACACAATGACTAGCATGCTTACATTGACTTACCCTGCTGGCCTGTCGACTTTGAAGTCACAGATGACAATCCCCATGGAGACTGCTTGTTAAAGCTGACTGACCCTGGCCTTCATGTTTCAGGAGGGGGAACAAAGGGGGCAGTGTGGTCAACTGACCCTATAAACTCACAAGTATTGATGGCTCTATACATATCAAGGGCATCTAGCTAACAGCCTCAAGGCATGAAAGTGGGTCCTTTCTCACAGCTGCAGACTGAGTCCAAGTAGCTGTCCCCTTATCTCAGCTGTCGGGTGAAAGTATAAACACTTGCATACACAGTATAAGGCTCTGCATATCATGCGCATTAAGTGTACATATAACACACAGGTACAAGTGTACATATAATACACATGTATAAGTGATCCAGCATGTTAAAGATTTAAAGGCCCCCCCCCCCCCCCCCCCTCTGGCACAAGGTAAAGCCAAGAAACCTCAACATGACATCGTATCAACCCTGCCTGTTTTATTATTCATATTATCATCAATTATAGTATTATTAATGTTATCATCATTTATAGTATTATTCGTATCATCAATTATAATATCATTCATATTACCACATTACGACTGGCCAAGCTGCAGACGTGGCCTGACTGTCTGTGGTTTGGCACTAACTGATTAGGGCTTGGCAAGTGAAGGCTATCTGTGTCAGTGTAGGCCTGTGTGTGTGTGTGATCCTTTCAAATAAATAAACAGAACCATGAGGTACCATTACGCTTCAGGGAAGAAGTAGAAAGACAATAGAAAACAATAAAGTACAAGACACACCAGGATAAGAGAGGGTGGACTACACGTGAAGCTACCTCTAGACCTCAGGAAAGAAGGGAAGAGACAAAAGAAAAGTGAAGTGTAATACATCCCAAGGTAACAGAAGAAAGACTGAACGTGATGGCGAAGCACCTCTACAATCCAGGGTAAAAGAGGAAAGACAAAGTGATGGGGAGACACCTCTACAACCCAAGCTAGACAAGGAAAGACAATGAGTTCATAAATAAATATATATCTGACATTTCACTGACACATACAAATCCATGCGCATCTGAATTTGATAGATTATGGTGAACTGCACCAAATAAAAAGTTTATTTCCTGAAGAAATGAGGAGCCTGGTTAACTTCCTCTCTGATGACATCAGTTCGGCATTTGAATGCGGCCCAGTCGATGCCACCCGACATTGTCCTTGTCGAGGTCCAGATCCCGCAGCTTGATGTAGACAGCTCCCAGGAAGTTGTTCTCCTTGAGCATGTCCCGGTCCCAGACAGACACCTGCAGCAGACGGTAGACAATCTCTTGTCGGGGCACCTCATACTGAAGCTGAAACAACACACAAGGTTTCCACGGAGATCACTAGTCATGTGACACAAACAATACAGAGGGTTGCCTTAGCGATCATTAGTCATGTGACTCAAATAATAAGTAGGGTTGCCATGGAGATCACTAGTCATGTGACTCAAATATTAGTTCTTCTACAGATACTGTTACAGGTGTGTCAGTGTCTGCATTATACCAGACAAACAGACCACGATACAGACATTTTTTCTTCTTCTCATTCCATAGTTGTAAACTTTGGTGAAAGTGAACTTTGGTCTTATTCTAGAACTTGAGTTCTGAGTGCACATACATTTGATAGATATTTGTATGCAGACTGTTGGTTTCTCGCCTCTAAGGCAGATGCACTGACGTCACACACACAAAACAGCCCTAATCAGTCGATTTTTATGGCATAACTGGGGGGCGGGGTGGCACATGGGTATATTCTTCCTCTACTCCCCCCACTCACCCACCTCATAAAGGGGCCCAGGACTCACACTGGGGAATACAGAAACGACATCAGAGAAAATATTATGGGGTAGCATTACAGAAACAACAATAACTAAAGGGATAACAATACACTGTGGCATTAACTTGACGGAAGTACCAATATGGTAGTGACAAAATGGGAATGACAAAACTCAACAGACTTTTGGAAATAAAAATATGGTTTCAAAAAACATCAAATGTCAATATGGAAATGACAATATGACAGTGTTAAAATGGCAGTGACAAAACTGAATAGTCATACATAAATAAAGTGTGGTAGAAATAATACAAAATAAAACTCACAAGTTTTTGACAAACTAATCAACATTTTACTCATGGCTTTTCAATGTTTTTCAAGGTTTTCCCAGGTCTTTTCAAGGTTTTCTCGCAGTCATTTTGACATTTTGCAAAGACAACTTTGAGGCATTCCGGCTAACTCACAAACTTTGAGATAGTGAGTCAACAGGCCTGGTGGCTCTTGAAGTATTTTATATAACAATAACAATATTAACACTCGGCTGAATGCCAGTGAAACAATAATAATATACTTGAAAACAAATATGAGATGTTAGAACACAACCCTTCTAACATCCATGAATGAAGAATGTAAAACAATTATGAGATGTTAGAACACAACCCTTCTAACATCCATGAATGAAGAATGTAAAACAAATAACATGAGAATCAACACTGAAAAGACAGAAGTAATGTCAACAGGTAAAAAGAAGACAGATCTAAATATAGCCATAGAGTCCAAAGGCATTAAACAGGCATCTGAGTTTAAATATCTGGGAACTACATTTACCGAAGATGGGAAATTGGATAAAGAAATTAACATTAGATGCAGTAAAGCAAACCAAGTATTGGGACAGCTAGCCCCCCTCTTACAGCATAAGATAATCCCAATCAGCACAAAGAGACATCTTATTCAAAGCATATTTATTCCAACTCTGTGCTACCAGTGCCAGACATGGTCACTGACAAGAAACCATAAAAGAAAATTGGTAATCATGGAGATGAGATGTCTGAGAAGGGCTGTAGGAGTGACCATAAGAGATAAGATCAGGAATGAGATCATAAGAGAAAAAGTCAGCACAGAACCAATTCTAAATTACACACGGAGACAGCAGGTGAAATGGTTTGCCCACTTAGAGAGAATGCCTTGTGACACCATACCATACAAAGCATACATGGAAAGAGAAGAAGGACGTAGAGCACGGGGTAGACCAAGAACAAGATGGAAGGATAACATCAGAGAAACTCTACAACAGCACGATGTGCCTATGGTCGAGGCGGCCAGAAAGCTAGAGACAGAACCTTATATCTCCCTCGACACCCACAACGGTAAAAGAGGAAGTGAAGAAGAAGAAGAAAACAAAGACTTCTAAACCTAGTTGAAAAAAAAAATGGGCAGAATGGGAGGGGGGGGGGGGGCAACAACAGCTTAGTCCTTAACAAATTTAGGAAGGCAATGACTCGATTGAGTGAGTGAGTGAGTGAGGGAGGGAGGGAGGGAGGGAGAAGGGTGGGTGGGTGGGTGGGTGGGTGGGTGGGTGTGTGTGTGTGTGTGAGAGAGAGAGAGAGAGAGAGAGAGAGAGAGAGAGAGAGAGAGAGAGAGAGAGAGAGAGAGAGAGAGAGAGAGAGAGAGAGAGAGAGAGAGAGAGAGAGATGGTGATTTGGGATGGGGAAGGGGGGACAGAGAGGCTTTAAGTGCCTCTATTTCCATCTTCCCTGAGCGTAAATAGGTTTGAATACATGGTGTGAATGATCATCCCATACATACACAGCAATACCTGCCGTTGAACAAACACATTCCACACATCTAAAGGAACTCAAGTGTCAGATAATGAAATTCCAGGCACTCACCAACTCATTGAATGTCGGGTGGCTGGTATTTTTCACGGTCTTGGTCTTGAGTTTTGTCTGTTTGTCAGGATCTGGCAACAAGTATGTCTTCACGTATGGACTTGGCAACTGGGATCCCTCTGCCTGGAAACCACACAGATTAATTAGACATAGACATCTGGCAGACAGACATCTGGTGACATGTGGCAGACAGACATCTGACAGACAACTAGCAGACAGACATCTGGCGGACAACTAGCAGATATGTGGCACAAACTTGACAACTCCACGCAAAAGTTGCAGTCAAGTGTTTAGTGGGAGTCATGATTCTGTGGCCATGTGTTTAGAATTATTCAGTGAACCACTGCAATTGTTATAAAGGAAAAAGTGACAGTGGATGATAGAAACAACAAACAGTATGGATGACAGAAAGAAAAAATGGAGAGTTCCTGACAGAAAGGAAAAAGTGACAGTGGATGTTGAGAGCAGATGACAGAAAAGAAACTAGTATGATTTCATGGTATAGACAGTTGTTGACACATGGCTTGTTAAGAAGGACTACGTAATGAAGATCAATGTGGGACTTTATCACTTATTATAGCCAGCCAGGAAGACCATAGAGGGCTCTTTCCTACTTTCTGCAAAACCCTTCCTCGTATATTTAACAACCCGCTAGAACACACAACTAAAAACCATCTCTTATATGTAACTGACAACCATCTCTCCCCCATACACAGCTGACAACCATCTCTCCCCCAAACACAGCTGACAACCATCTCTTCCCCAAACACACCGGAAAATCGTTTCTTCCCTAAACACAGCTGACAACCATCTCTTCTCCACACACAGCTGACAACCCTCTGATATACACAGCTGACAACCCTCTGATACACACAGCTAACAATTCTCTGATACACACAGCTGACAACCCTTCAATACACACAGCTGACAACCCTTCCATACACACATCTTACAACCCTCCGATAAACACAGCTGACAACCCTTCAATACACACAGCTGAAAACCCTCTGATACACACAGCTGACAACCCTTTAATACATACAGCTGACAACCCTCTGATACACACAGCTGACAACCCTGTGCTACTCACCAGTCCTCGGACATGCATCACCATCACCTGCAGGGCATTCTTCTTGAACTGGATGGACAGTTTGATCTCCCCCTGGATGCCAGAGTTGCCCACGTTGGTGCTCCGGTGGATCAGTGGTTCTGTCAGTTTAAAAAGCAAACAGTAACTCTCTTAGGAGGCTACACGCTGAAGGCTGTTTGTAAAACAGTCATTTATTTTACAGCTCTTCAGCCAGCTTCATGACTCCTCATATGAATTCAAAACTTCAAAAACTTTAAACTTCAAACTCTTGACAGCTCTTCATTTCACAACTGCTCAGCTAATGACTCTTCATAGGATTATTGGCAGACTATTTACATGTACAAGCGGCGTACGTGGCCTAGGCATTGCGAGTCCGATTCGTAATTCCAGTGTACCGCGATCGAAACCCACTGATGGCTGCGTGGATATTTATCATGGTATGGGGCGTCGCAGGCTGACCCAGCCTAAAATGGGTAACCATGATGTATGCCTGGGGAAGTAAAAACGACCATATTACCCACCTAGTGCCGATTGGTCTGTAAAAATATGGGTGCTCTTCCCATATGCCTGATGCGCCTAAAGGCGTGAAAAGGGATCTTCACTTTACTTACTCATTTACATGTACACAGTGATACCTTAATAACACAGCTCCGGCTCCGCTGAAAGTGAAATGTGTCTGTATGTTTACGAAACAAGATCAGGATGGTATACAGGATGGGGGACGGGAGGGGTAGTGAGTCTGTCTTCCAGCCTTCTCAGATAACAGTCAAAAACTATCAAAGTTGAGGTGTTCTTTGCATGCATTCAACATTCCTCACCCAGTGTAAATAGACAAACGGAGACCCAACTGACCACTGTCCAGGCTTAACTTTACAGTTAGAAAACCTATTAAAGACTATCTACACAGCCCAGGTGAGAATACTGGCTGTTACTGCAGAATGTGTACACTAAGCTCAGATTCTCATGGGGTGATATATGGCAGCAGACTGCAGCGCTTATGAGAATATCAGTTTGGAATAAATAATGATCCTATGTGAAGGAACCACACTCTCAAGTGTCACATACGGTAACAAACCACACTCCTAACTGTCAAATATGGTAACAAACCACACTCCACACCCAACATATCACAAACACAGACCTCTCAGTTTGGTCATGTTCAGCTTTGCCTTCTCCGCCTCTTGCTCATCCCTCAGCAGTGGGTGGAAGAAAGTGTACACCAGCTCACACTGAAAGACACAAACATAACACCTTTAGTGTCACCACATACAATCTCACCAATAGAACACCTTTAGTGTTCAGCACAAAATCTCATCAATAGAACACCTTTAGTGTCACCACATAAAATCTCACCAATAGAACACCTTTAGTGTCACCACAAAATCTCATCAACATTTTTAGTGCCATCACACAAAATCTCACCAACAGAACACCTTTAGTGTCACCACAAAATCTCATCAACATTACATCTTTAGTGCCGCCACACAAAATCACACCAATAGAACACCTTTAGTGTCACCACCAAATCTCATCAACGGAACAATCTCATCTGTCTTGAGTGTGAAGATAAGGTCTTGAGTACTTCGGTTTGCTCTGAAGCCACACTGGGCCTGATCCAGCTGTGGCTCTGCCAGAACATGTAAGACTCAACACATCAAATAACCTTGCTACAGGTGAGTTAGAAATGATTACCTGGGAGATCTCTGCAGTTTTACCCCAAAGGAAACGAAGAAAGTTTGCAATCTCTGTCTTCCTACTCTCCGCGACTGATTTGATGTTGCTCCGCCCAATGACCACTCTGGCAAAAAGGCACACAATGGTAATTTAAGTTATACAATATTTGACAGAGACAGAAACTCTCTCTCTCTCTCTAACTGGACAGATATACAAGCATATCAGACATGTTTGTTTCAGACAGAAATATATCTAACAGACAGACATGTCTATCAGATATGTGGGCACATGACACTTTCATTTGTCTGAGTCCTCCCTTCATCCACTCTGCCTGTCTCTTTCAGCCTCTTTCTGTGTTTCTCCTGCCTCGCTGTCTCTCCTTTTCTTTTCATCCTCTCTTTGTGTCTCTCCTGTCTCTGCTTGTCTCATGTCTCTCTGTGTCTGTCCCTGCCCCATGTCATAAATCTCTGTGCCCATGCACCTCACACACAGACATACACATCAAGCTCAGGCAGACATGACAATTAATGATATCCACAAGACAAACACTTCTGTGACTGACATCAACTAGACAAAACATTATCATGACATCAATTAGGCAGACATTACCGTGAATGAAATAAACGAGACAGACATTACCAAGGATGTCATGCACCAGACAGATAATACAAAGGACGGCACGCACTAAGACTGACATGCTAGATGATACAATACAAGTATCTCATAGACAACTGACACACCTGGTGGAGAAGTTGGGCCAAGACAGTAGTGGAAAGATGTAATTCAGCTTGTCCCGAAGCTCCACAAACTCCGAGAAGTGACGGAAGATGTAAGTCGGCACCTTCTGGTTTTCTCTCTCGATTTTTAGGATAAAAATCTGAAAAGTAAAAACAGAGCATCTGGTTGACAAAAATTCCAAAGATCTTAACACTTCTTATCTGTTCCTTCTTCCTTCTCTGCTGTCACGACAGCATCCAGAGGAAATAACAAATGTGTTCAGGAAGTGCCCAACCTGCCTCCCCAAAAATTACTCACTGGAAAGACTCAGAGCTGAACCCTTTCATCCTGTGAATGATAAAACAAATGGGTCTAAACCCGTCAGAATTTCTATGAAAAATCCCTTTAAAAAAATATTACACAGGTCACTAATATTTGTTTATTTTTGTAATAGAATTTATGTATCTATATTTTGAGGATTTTTTCCAAAACATATAATGATATATAAAGAGGTAATCAATACACGTGAACTGAGTGAAACGTAAAATGGAGGCTTCACAAAAACCGATTTGTTTACATCAACTTGTCTTTCACAAACACCCCCAATACCATGATAGCTACTATGTTTACATCCTGACCTACTGAACAATGTGCAGGCACACCCTGGACCAATGGAATGAAACTACGCTTTTTGAGAACAGGTCACCACAGACAAGGTCATATATCGGCATTTACAGGAATGTAACATAACCCAAAGTGACTAGATTTGGCCTGCTAGGAGCTGACAACTAGTCTCCTTGGGACTACTACTCCCATCCAATCTACACTGTTGCAAGCATCTAGAAGACCATCACAGGCGTCATGTTCTGCATGACTTCTTATAGTTCAGAATGGAGGAATTTTCACCAGCAACTTTAGCAAGAGGCAACATCAAAATATCACAAGGAGCTGGCATTCCAAAGCTTGCTTAACCAGATACTGGTGTGTCAGGCCTTTAAAACCTGAGTCAGATGCACAATATCTGTGGATATGTTGACAGGATGGAACTGTGAACACTGCCGCTGCCAGGACATTATCTGTGGATATGTTGACAGGATGGAACTGTAAAAACTGCCAGGACATTATCTGTGGATATGTTGACAGGATGGAACTGTGAACACTGCTGCTGCCAGGACATTATCTGTGGATATGTTGACAGGATGGAACTGTGAACACTGCCACTGCCAGGACATTATCTGTGGATATGTTGACAGGATGGAACTGTAAAAACTGCCAGGACATTATCTGTGGATATGTTGACAGGATGGAACTGTGAACACTACCACTGCCAGGACATTATCTGTGGATATGTTGACAAGATGGAACTGTGAACACTGCCACTGCCAGGACATTATCTGTGGATATGTTGACAAGATGGAACTGTGAACTCTGCCGCTGCCAGGACATTATCTGTGGATATGTTGACAGGATGGAACTGTAAAAACTGCCAGGACATTATCTGTGGATATGTTGACAGGATGGAACTGTGAACACTACCACTGCCAGGACATTATCTGGGGATATGTTGACAAGATGGAACTGTGAACTCTGCCGCTACCAGGACATTCTCTACTGGCACTGTGAGGTTGGTGTGAAGAGATCTGTCTCTCATCCTGTTGTTGAAGTCACATCTCCATGGGTACTGTAGTGCAGGGCTCTTCTGGTCCTCTCCAAGGTCAGAAACCAATAAGGTGGGCAAGACTGGTACTGTAACTTCACAAATGTGGAGAGGATAATGGTACGTAGTAAGTAATGGAGCAGCAATACAAGCTGGCCTTGTAACTAAAGAATCTGTGTTGACAGATTACCTGCAGGAACCTCTTGCCTGACACCACATGTCTAAAGAATCTCAGTGTTAATGGGAGACCTACACAAACTGAAGGTTTGACACCATGAGACTAAAGAATCTCAGTGTTGATGGCAAACCTACACGAACTGAAGGTTTGACACCTTGAGACTAAAGAATCTTAGTGCTGATGGCAGACCTACATAAACTGAAGGTTTGATACCATGAGACTAAAGAATCTCAGTGTTGATGGCAGACCTACACAAACTGAAGGTTCGATACCATGAGACTAAAGAATCTCAGTGTTGATGGCAGACCTACATGAACTGAAGGTTTGAAACTATGAGACTAAACCATCTTGGTGCTGATGGCAGACCTACACAAACTGTTTGACACCGTGAGACTAAAGAATTTCAGTGTTGATGGCAGACCAACAAGACCTAAAGGTTTGACACCTTGAGACTAAAGAATCTCAGTGTTGACGGCAGACCTACACGAACTGAAGGTTCGATACCATGAGACAAAAGAATCTCAGTGTTGATGGCAGACCTACACGAACTGAAGGTTTGATACCATGAGACTAAAGAATCTTAGTGCTGATGGCAGACCTACACAAACTGAAGGTTCGATACCATGAGACTAAAGAATCTCAGTGTTGATGGCAGACCTACATGAACTGAAGGTTTGAAACTATGAGACTAAACCATCTTGGTGCTGATGGCAGACCTACACAAACTGTTTGACACCGTGAGACTAAAGAATTTCAGTGTTGATGGCAGACCAACAAGACCTAAAGGTTTGACACCTTGAGACTAAAGAATCTCAGTGTTGATGGCAGACCTACACGAACTGAAGGTTCGATACCATGAGACAAAAGAATCTCAGTGTTGATGGCAGACCTACACGAACTGAAGGTTTGATACCATGAGACTAAAGAATCTCAGTGTTGATAGCAGACCTACACAAACTGAAGGTTTGATACCATGAGACAAAAGAATCTCAGTGTTGATAGCAGACCTACACAAACTGAAGGTTTGATACCATGAGACTAAAGAATCTCAGTGTTGATGGCAGACCTACACAAACTGAAGGTTTGATACCATGAGACTAAAACATCTTGGTGCTGATGGCAGACCTACATGAACTGAAGGTTTGAAACCATGAGACTAAAACATCTTGGTGCTGATGGCAGACCTACATGAACTGAAGGTTTGAAACCATGAGACTAAAACATCTTGGTGCTGATGGCAGACCTACATGAACTGAAGGTTTGATACTATGAGACTAAAACATCTTGGTGCTGATGGCAGACCTACACGAACTGAAGGTTTGACACCTTGAGACTAAAGAATTTCAGTGTTGATGGCAGACCAACAAGACCTGAAGGTTTGACAGCGCAAGACTAAAGAATCTCAGTGTTGATGGCAGACCAACAGGAACTGAAGGTTTGACACCTTGAGACTAAAGAATTTCAGTGTTGATGGCAGACCAACAAGTCCTGAAGGTTTGACACCGTGAGACTAGAGAATCTCAGTAATTCAGGTACCCTGTTTAACCTGCAAGGAATTAGGGCACCTGTCATGGCCACACCAGCTTTATGTAATCTGCAGCCTTGCATAGCTAAGGTAAATGTTTCTATGACTCAAACAGCAGTTCTGTAACTTACATAGTGTTTCTCTGGTGTGTATCTCTTCTGGTAGCCAAACAGTTCCACGGATGAGATCTTCCCATCAGATGCAGCACTGGCAGAAGAAACAAAACAATTTATTCTGTAGAAACAGCAGAAAGAATCAATTCAACTGTGAAATTATCTCCTTTTTTTCTTTTATTTGTAAATTTTGCTTTAAAAAAAGTGGAATGACCTCCCTTTTTAGTCATGAAGAATTTGTTACAACAAATGAACTGGAATTAGACCCCCCCCCCCCCCCCCCTCTTCCTTTTTTTTCTCTTTGTGTGTGTGTGTGTGTGTTAACTAATTTTAACAGAAAATGTCTTGCCTCACTACAGGAAAACAAAACAATGTGGCTGGAATAATCTACCATTATTTAGTTAAACCAAGCACAAACAAATGGAGATCTTTCCCATCTAATGAAAGAATGCTGATACATGGCCGGCTTGTGGACCCTTCTGTGAATCCTAAGTTAAGCTTGTGTAGTCTCTGGAAAGTGGAGAGTTCATCAATTCTGAAGTCTAATCTACTGGGTCCAGTGTACTGGTATCCAAAGTACTGGGGACTGGCTGCAGCAAGTGTGTATTTCAATAATTCTGTATCAATGTGTATATTTTGGTACACTTTAGCCCTGCTTAAACTAGAGAAAGAGAACAGGAAGCAATAGCATCAACACAAATCAACAAATCTGGAGCCTTCATTAATTTTTATACAAATCAGGGAGTCAAACAACCTAGACCACTGGCAAGACACAAGGAACAAAAGGACATCACTCCAAGGTATTCGGATGTGAATTAAAAAAAATTTTTAAGTAATATTTTAAATATTTTTTTAATAATACCTCATTTCTTTTTGGTTTTTAGGGTCAATACAGTCATACCCAACATACCTTAGGGATCTCCAATGCAAAGTGGTCGAGCCATTTGCCCCATGCTCAAAAGGTTGTGGGTTTGTTTCACTGCTGCATCGTTCAGTTCATGAGTGCAATTTTTACTGAGACCTCTGGAGATCACTGACTGAGCTACGGTGTTTGTGTTTTGTGTGACACTCTCAGCAGGCGACTAGCCATTCAACGGAGACAGACCAAGCCATATGAGATAAAAGCCGGTGTAATGAAGACGATCCGCTTGATGTTAACCCACCAGGTCTAAACCCTATGCAGTTGTAGCCTGTTCTAAAGCTGTTACATGAGCACAGCAGCCACTGCCTAGAGACTTCATGTCCTCCAACACCCCTAAATGTAGGAAAACTGACTTTCTCTGGGATACAGAGTTTAGGTGTACAGGATGTGAGCCAACAATTCAGATGTTAGAATAAACTGAACCGAGAGTGCCAGAGAGCCTGGGACTCACCTGTAGGCCTTGGGTACGAAGGAGAGGAGTGCCCCCTCACTGTGGCTGGAGAACTTCAGCTGGGCCAGGTTGTGGATAAAGAAGTTGAACTGAGTGAACACAGACTTCATGGATTCCTCAATCATTCTGTAAATAAGAGGGTATATGATCATTAGAGTGGAGACATCCACTGTCTTACTTGTGTTACTGACATGCAGACAGACAGGTACACTGACACACAAGCATCCAGACATAATAAAATATGAATAGAAGAACACAATAAGAGGATGATTTGATTTATGCAGACGGACAGACAGACAGACAGAGACGGAAGGACAGACAGACATACATACATACAGACAGGAGTTAGACAGAAGGAAACTGCTAAACACACATACAGAAGCATGTGAAACAATGTCAGACTCATTGATTCTTAGATACCTAGGCAGACAGATGACAGACAGACAGACAGACAGACAGACAGACAGACAGGCAGGCAGACAGGCAGACAGACATACTGTGTACCTGGTGTAGGTGGTGGTAGCCTCGCAGCAGCCAGGTAGAAATGTAGTTTGTATAGACAGGACAGACAGACAGACAAGACAGAGGGAGAGACATACAGACAGACAGACATACAGACAGAGAGACAGAAAGGCAGAGAGACAGACAGAGAGTGTATGGGAAATGTGGTCTGTACAGACTGGACAGACAGACAGTCTACCTGGTAAAGGTGGCGGTAGCCTCAGCCTCGGAGCATCCAGGTAGAAGTGTGGTCTGTACATACTGGACAGCATGCTCTGTGACACCTGGGATCCCTGACCTGATCATCTGAAACAGGCGTCACAGGCCATGTGTCACACCGGGTTTGTCATATCACCCTCTATTATTGAATGACTATTACATACATTATTGCCCTGGCGCTGTCACATCTCTGTCAACATAGGATTACCCCACATCTATTACATAGCAGAAATGCCCCACATCTCTATCCCACTGTAAAGCTGTCACATGTTATGCATTCACACACTGGTCACAATGCTGTCAAATATCATAGATGTCACAGACACCTATCCATCACAGATATCACACACCTATCTAACACACTGGAACTAACAAATGAACAAACATGCCACACTGTGACACAAACATTTCCCTACCAAGATGAACAAGCTGCGGAACAAGTCTGCATGTTTGCGCAGAATGTTGAAAGCTTGGCAACACAGGTCGATGAAGTGCTGGAACTTGTGTCCCGGTCTGGCGCCATCGTTGATCACATAGGCCATGTCAGAGGTCAGGACAAAAGGGACTCGGTCTCTGAAACCAAAACAGTTTTCAGCGGCTTCAGTGAGAGGATGTCACTGATTTGGTTGCATAATAACACACAGTCAGTCAGTTGCATTTAAACAAGTTTGTTTGTTCCTTCCCTAACAATGCGGTTCATCCATTCTGCTGGAAAAAGGTTGTGAGACTTATTTCAAACCAGGTCGTTAAGTTTTTTTTGGGTATGGGTGTTCTGGCAACCACTGCGGTCAGATGCTTGAGTCTCAGAAATATGTGGTTTGTGTGATGATATCAGAATAGACTAAGCCACATGAGATCATGCCCAGTGCAATGAAGTTCAATTTGTGTTGTGACCTCTCATTCTAATTCATTTGCACTCAAGCATGATTGTCAAGGGTCTGTGTGGCTATGGGATGACTGTAGGTGATAACAGCCAATAGCGGACTAGTACTTAGATGACCGCTTTGTCCTGATGAGCAAATACAGCCCTGTACAATTGACATCATGGAACTCTGTATTCTGTCCCTTGTCCTGATGTACAGATACAGCCCTGTATAACTGGCATCATGGAACTCTGTATTTTGTCCCTTGTCCTGAAGTACAGATACAGCCCTGTACAACTGACATCATGGAACTCTGTATTCTGTCCCTTGTCCTGATGTACAGATACAGCCCTGTATAACTGGCATCATGGAACTCTGTATTCTGTCCCTTGTCCTGATGTACAGATACAGCCCTGTATAACTGGCATCATGGAACTCTGTATTCTGTTCCTTGTCCTGATGTTCAGATACTATTGGTCTCCCATTTCAGTGACTGTTGGTGGTTCTCTGTTGACTTCTTCTCTGGATATGCCCCATATATTTCCATCTTGTTTGTCTGATAACTGACAACAAGGAGCAAGCTGAGCTGAAGCTTGTAGGCAGACAGACAAATGACCCAGGAGACAAATATATTATCCCTCTAAACAGTCAAACTATATGTGAAATTATATACAGAAACTGTCAGAATGCAGATATTACATTTTGAGAAAGAAACTGTATGAGAATGAAAACATATCTGTTGACAGAGAAACTGTATTACAAAACAGACATACTATCTGACAGGGAAACTGTATGACAAAACAGACATACTATCTGAGAGGGAAACTGTATGACAAAACAGACATTCTATTCGACAGGGAAACTGTATGACAAAACAGACATAGTATCTGACAGGGAAACTGTATGACAAAACAGACATGCTATCTGACAGGGAAACTGTATGACAAAACAGACAAACTATCTGACAGGGAAACTGTACGAGAACATAAACATACCTCTTAAAGGAGCCAAACATCTGAGAATCTCCTAGGAATTTGCTGAAGTCAATGTGGAACATATGGCCGGACTGTTTCAGCATTATGTTGTCGTTGTGCCTGTCACACACACCCAGCACATACGTGGCCACACAGTAGCCGGCACAGGAGTAGGTGAAGTTCTCGACAGCCTGACACACAAGGTCAAGGTAATAAACTACAGGCAGTATTTGATTTATCTGATCTCTGTGACTTCCAAAAGGTCATCAGAAAATTAACACCTTCTATATATGTTTTCAATACAAGATTCGTATGCCAAATTCACCAATTTCTAAATCAAATTCACCATTTTCTTAATCAATTTCCCTTTTCTGCACATCAAGTTGTCAAAAAAAATTTTTTTTTTTTTTAAATATATCATAATGAAAATAATATATAATTAAACTTATTGTTGAAATGGAACATTTGATTAGTTAGTTAGTTAGTTAGTTAGTCGACAGATTATCATCATTGCATAGTGAACCATTCAGTCTATAAGTGCTCAGATCCCCTCTTCAGCATCTCCCTCAGCGTGTAGTGGCTTGTGACACCAGTTCTGTGTTGGTTTACTATTCTTCTTTGGGCCCTTGTGTAGCGCTCCTGTCTGGCCTCACCCCTTTTGATGGTATGTTTGTGTAGTCTCATTTGATTGCATGAATGTAATCACATACATCAATTACTTATTTAGTAGCACGGGTCTTCAAGCTCATGGAAATTTTATAAACCTATTTTTTTCCTTAAATCTTCTTCTTCTTCGTGTTCACCAGCTGTAAACTCTGGCAGAAAGTTCCGGCTGTTCATCCACATTTTGGACTGCAGTCCTGTTCCAGAACCTGAGTGTTGCGTGTGCATCCATTTTACAGATGTGACTCATTTGCATGCAGACTGCTGGTTCCTTGCCTCTCAAGCAGATGCACTCCGAATTTGAAGGAAGCTCCCAATTAGTCGACTCTTACGACACGCTAATCGATTGGCAGTGGGTCTATTTCCCTCCCTCCCCCAACAGGGCCCCGGAACCCACATGGGGATTTCTTTAAATAATCATGACATTCTGTGGGAGTAACATTTCCAACAGAATGGTCAGAAGCAGGGTGGCTGGTTGCCTGCGAACAACTCTTACCTTCTTATATTCCAGTTCTGTCGGGTTGTGCTTCTGTAGCCATTCTTTGATTGGCCGATCTTTGAAGGATCCAGTCACCCCACAGGACACCTGTATCTTGCGAAGAGTTTCAGACTCTGTGATCAGCTCTATGACACCTGCCAGAGTTCAAATCTTGTCAGCTGACTGACCACTGGTCAATAACATCCATCAAGTCAATAAGCACAAATAATGTAGCCGCAACACTACAAACAACCAATTAGCTTTATCAGCGCAGACTCAGACGTGAGGAAGATACACAATCAAACTTAGAGCTTACAGTGTATAACAAATAAGAGTATAGACAAGTAACAACAGACAACCAACAATAGTACAGACAACCAACAATAGACAACCATCAAGAGTATAGACAACCAACAATAGTACAGACAACCAACAATAGACAACCAACAAGAGTACAGAAAACCAACAATAGACAACCAACAAGAGTACAGACAATTAACAACAGATTACAAACCAGAGAACAGACAAAAAGATAAAATTAATGACCCTTCTTAGGCCCTGTCGCCAGACAAGCAAATGTAATCATTTTGAGGTCAAGACCTTGCTGCAGCCACAAGTTATCCATGATCCGGATCATCTGAAGTGTCAGCATATCCTGCCGGAGGTCATCGCCAACCTGAGGGCAAGACATGGGAGACAAAGTTTTACTGAGGTCACCACCAACTTCAGGGCAACACAAGAGGACAAAGTTTTACTAAGGTCATCACCAACTTCAGAGCAAGACAAGGGGACAAAGTTTTACTGAGGTCACCACCAACTTCAGGGCAACACAAGAGGACAAAGTTTTACTAAGGTCATCCCCAACCTGAGGGCAAGACAAGGGGACAAAGTTTTACTGAGGTCACTGCCGACCTGAGGGAAATACAATGGGACAGAGTTTTACTGAGGTCATCACCGATCTGAGGGCAACACAGGGGGACAAAGTTTTACTGAGGTCACTGCCGACCTGACGGCATCTGTGGCTTATGCATTGTGATGTACTTCATAATTCTGTGTTGTCTTTAACAGGGGTATCAAGACCTGACCATTTAGAAAGGAATGGCAAACTACTGAAAGTAAAACTGCCCAGTAAAACCTAAATAGAAAACAAATGCTAGAGCTGGTTCTTCAATGCCCTCTAAAGAATAGGCAATTTGCATTTTTTCTATAGCAGATAATCCTTGTGCTTGGTGAGTGGGAATCCATAAGACTGGCTCAGCAGATAAACAACGTAGAAGATGAGTGGCTAAACAATGTAGACAATAGTGGATAAACAATGTAGAAGATGAGTGGCTAAACAATGTAGACAATAGTAGATAAACAACGTAGAAGATGAGTGGCTAAACAATGTAGACAATAGTGGATAAACAATGTAGAAGATGAGTGGCTAAACAATGTAGACAATAGTGGATAAACAACGTAGAAGATGAGTGGCTAAACAATGTAGACAATAGTGGATAAACAATGTAGAAGATGAGTGGCTAAACAATGTAGACAATAGTGGATAAACAACGTAGAAGATGAGTGGCTAAACAATGTAGACAATAGTGGATAAACAACGTAGAAGATGAGTGGCTAAACAATGTAGACAATAGTGGATAAACAACGTAGAAGATGAGTGGCTAAACAATGTAGACAATAGTGGATAAACAACGTAGAAGATGAGTGGCTAAACAATGTAGACAATAGTGGATAAACAATGTAGACAATAGTGGCTAAACAATGTAGACAATAGTGGATAAACAACGTAGAAGATGAGTGGCTAAACAACGTAGTCGATGGTGGATAACTCTAACAGTGCTGTGTATTTTTAATACACAAACTCTGAAGCATCCATGAGAATCTAAATACATGAATCTCCATAATTATTTTACTGTGTGCAAGTCTTCTCCTTATGATGAAATGCCTTAGAAGAGCTGCAGGAGTTTCAAGGAAAGACAGAATATGAAATCACAAAATCAGACGAATGCTAGGAATAAAGCCAGTCTTACAAGTCATCAAAAAACAACAAACTAAGTGGAGTGGACACCTAACAAGAATGCCTTGGTATTATCTGCCACAGCGAGCCAACGGGTATAGAGCGAGTGGAAGACCTCTGAAAATATGGAGTGATGGCCTTAAGAACAGTCTTACAGAAATCATCAGTCTTAATAGTGCTCTTGACAGAGCTCATCAACGAATGTTACATCCCCCCCCCCCTCCCCTCCCCACTTTGCTGAGGTACAAGGTGGAAGAGAAGAAAAAGAAGCAGTCTTCTCCTTCTAAAACTCTGCCTGGCTAATTCAGGATGCTCTTGTCAATGTGTAACTGCCAAGACATTTGTATAGGAACATCTGTCTGTCTTCCCACAGCTAGTAGAGCTTCACAGTGAATTGGTAACAAGTGTACTGGATGAGAGGATGACCAGGATGGTGGAGGAGTGTATGACCATGATGGTGGATGAGTTTACCTTGTAAATGACGTAGTGAGAGTCTGCCCTTGGGTTGGAGTTCTTGAAAACCAGTTTCAGCGGGAAGGCATTAGAGGTGAAATAGGAGCATGACTGAAATATATCAAAATACGAGCATGACTGAAACATCAAAATATGAGCATAACTGAAACATATCAAAATATGAGCTTGACCGAAACATATCAAAATATGAGCATGACTGAAACATATCAAAATGTGAGCATAACTGAAACATATCAAAATGTAAGCATGACTGAAACATATCAAAATTTGAGCATGACTGAAACATATCAAAATATGAGCATGACCGAAAAATATCAAAATATGAGCATGACTGATACATATCAAAATATGAGCATGACTGAAACATATCAAAATATGAGCATGACTGATACATATCAAAATATGAGCATGACCGAAAAATATCAAAATATGAGCATGACTGATACATATCAAAATATGAGCATGACCGAAAATATCAAAATATATGCATGACTGATACATATCAAAATATGAGCATGACCGAAAAATATCAATTTATGAGCATGACTGAAGCATATCAAAATACGAGCATGACCGAAACAATTAAAGTATCACCTGTTGGAGATTAAATATACCAAACATGACAACAGATGCACCAATCTGTCTAATTATTGTTTGATAAGATTTTCTGACTGTAAATGTCAACAACAAAAAGATGATATTCATATGTGTAAGAGAGAGAAATCCATCATAAACCATACGCACCTTCATGTCAAGGCCCACAACTTCTACACTTGGGTTGTAGGGCAAGAGTAGCCTGCCCTTCCGTTCAACCATTTGATGAAGAGAAACTAGTTCTTGCTTCAAGGTCACCTAAAGGATACAAGAGCCAACAGTGTACAAACAACCTCTTCAACTCCTCCTCATCATCCCCACCACCACCACCATCATCACATCCATCCTCACCAGATTGTGTTTACCAGTTGCGCTACAGCTGGAGAGACTAGAGACTCACTATGCTGCTAGTCGTGTTTCAGACAAAATATTACCTGCTGTAGGCCTGACCCCAGACTTGGCCAATCTTGGGTTTTTTACTGGATGGCTGAAATAAATGATGTGAATGTATGCAACAGCACCGATGAGATCGGTCTGTCCCTGACAATGTTGCTGAGACCACAATACAAGGCTACAGCAGCAGACAAGCAACCTAGGCTGAGAAATCAGAAAGGATCCTCACTGAATGATAAAACCACTAAACAGACTGCAGGAAGTCACTACCAGGCCACTCCATCAAGCCTGATTATCTGTAGGCCATGAAACTGCAATGTCAAGGATCTGATTCACACCTTCTAGTATATGGGACAGACTACCCCCTTCCCCCCCCCCCCTTTTTTTTCCCCTTTCTACATTCAGGACAGATCTCCCCCAGGCAGACTTCTCTCCATACCCTGGTGCAGTTCTCCCCACACACCCTGGGGCAAATCTTATTTCACATCCAGGGACAGACCTCTCTCCACACCATGAGACAGATATCCATCTAATCCTTGGACATATTTCCCTCTACATCCTGGGACAGATCTCCCTCTAATCCTAGGACAGATCTCCCTCCACATCCTGGGACAGATTTCCCTCCACACCCTGGGGAAGGTCTCCCCCAACACACTGGGGCAGATCTCCCTACACACCCTGGGACTGATCTTCCTCCACACCTTGGGGCAGATTTCCCGCTACATCCTGGGGAAGTCAGAGATACTCACATCCTTGTCTTTGGCTTCCTTGACCTTCTCTGCCACAGAGGTCATGATCTTCACCAGCTCCTCCTGCTTCTTGAACTCCTGGTAGAGAGCATCCCCAGCCACACTGGCCAGGGCCACAAACATCAGCTCGTATCGCCGCTTGTATGTTGCATCTTGGGAGGCAGCTCCTAGTGGGGGCAAGTTCACATTGTTCACCCAACATGATAGAACGCACACAAGAACAACAATAACAACCAATATACACACACCAGAACAACAACAACACCACACACATTGCAAAAACCACCACGCACAACAAAACAAAAACAACCACACACACCAGAAAGAAAAAAAAACAACCACCACCACACATTCACCAGTACAATAACAACCACACATGCCAGAACAACACAAACACACATGACAAAACAACACACACACACACACACACACACACACAAACAACAACCACCACCACACACCAGAACAACAACAACTAAGAATTCTTTAACTTTACTAAAAGTCAACTTCAATATGATATTGGATATTTAACACTTGCTCCCTTTTAACTTAACTAAAAGTCAACTTCAATATGATATCGGAAACTTAACACTTGCCTCAAAGGTGTTTAACCATTTTAACTTTACTAAAAGTCAACTTAAGCCCATTTCAATATGATGTCAAACATTTAACACTTGCTCCAACCATGCATAACCACTTTAACTTTACTAAAAGTTAACTTCAATACGATATCTGATATTTAACACTTGCTCCAAAGGTGTTTAACCTTTTCAAGCTTACTAAAAGTCAACTTCAATATGATATCGGATATTTAACACTTGCTCTAATATTGTACAACTTCAACAGAATATTGAATATTTACATGTAAAACTTGCTCCAACACTGTACAACCACTTTAACTTTCATAAAATTCTTCAATATGATATCCAATATATAACACTTGCTCCAACATTTCACAACCACTTTAACTTTATTAAAAGTCAACTTTAATACAATATTTACATGCAACACTTGCTCCAACAGTGTATAACTTCAACAAAATATTGAATATTTACACGCAGCACTTGCTCTAACAGTGTACAACCACTCCAAATGGCACAAGCCTAGCCTGGTGCCAGAACTGAGCAGACAACAGAGACCATCACATGGCCCTTAGAGATCCCTGCCTAGAACACAGAGACCATCACGTGGCCCCAGAGATCCCTGCCTAGAACACAGAGACCATCACGTGGCCCCAGAGATCCCTGCCTAGAACACAGAGACCATCACATGGCCCCAGAGATCCCTGCCTAGAACACAGAGACCATCACGTGGCCCCAGAGATCCCTGCCTAGAACACAGAGACCATCACATGGCCCCAGAGATCCCTGCCTAGAACACAGAGACCATCACGTGGCCCCAGAGATCCCTGCCTAGAACACAGAGACCATCACATGGCCCCAGAGATCCCTGCCTAGAACACAGAGACCATCACATGGCCCCAGAGATCCCTGCCTAGAACACAGAGACCATCACATGGCCCCAGAGATCCCTGCCTAGAACACAGAGACCTTCACATGGCCCCAGAGATCCCTGCCTAGAACACAGAGACCATCACATGGCCCCAGAGATCCCTGCCTAGAATACAGAGACCATCACATGGCCCCAGAGATCCCTGCCTAGAACACAGAGACCATCACATGGCCCCAGAGATCCCTGCCTAGAATACAGAGACCATCACATGGCCCCAGAGATCCCTGCCTAGAACACAGAGACCATCACATGGCCCCAGAGATCCCTGCCTAGAACACAGAGACCATCACATGGCCCCAGAGATCCCTGCCTAGAACACAGAGACCATCACATGGCCCCAGAGATCCCTGCCTAGAACACAGAGACCATCACATGGCCCCAGAGATCCCTGCCTAGAATACAGAGACCATCACATGGCCCCAGAGATCCCTGCCTAGAACACAGAGACCATCACATGGCCCCAGAGATCCCTGCCTAGAACACAGAGACCATCACATGGCCCCAGAGATCCCTGCCTAGAACACAGAGACCATCACATGGCCCCAGAGATCCCTGCCTAGAACACAGAGACCATCACATGGCCCCAGAGATCCCTGCCTAGAACAAACTCACACAAGCAACTCACCTTTGAGAAGCCAGAAAAACTGGTGAGCGAACCTGGGACTCTTGCATGACTGCTCGAGCAGCAGCTTGGCCAGTGGGGAGTTGTGGTAGCTCTCAAACTTTAAACCCTGCATAAGTATTACAGATGGCATGTCACAAGTGTTACAGATGGCATGTCACAAGTATTAGAGATGGCATGTCACAAGTTTTACAGATAGCATGTTACATGTTATTACTCCTCCCATCAACTTAGTCCCCATCCCCCTGCAAATCTCTTGCTCTGTCTCTCTCTCTCCTTTTTTTTTTTTACACTGTCTCTCCAATTGCGATATTTCCCCCCTCTCTCTTTCTTGCTTGCTCTGTTTCAGTCTCTCTTTCGGTCCTGTGCGCTCTCTCTCTCCCACTCCTTCTATGTCGCTTGCTTGGTTTCAGTTTTTCTCTCACTCTTCTGCTTACACTCAACTCTCTCACAGGGCTGACAGCTGGGAACTGCTATGATGCTTACCTGAATCATCTGTGGCAGGAAATCAATGAGGTCATCTGTTGGGATCTTGTTCAAGCTGTCCGCGGCAAACTGTCTCACCCGCAGATCCGGGAACCTGGGTAAAAATCAACAAATCAGTTAATGCCATGAACAATAGAAAACTGATATTTTAACACTTGGAGATCCAACAACATGGGCCCAGGAACAGAAGAGCAAACGGACACACAAATAACTGTATTTTCAAAGGCTCACAAATTGGGCACACAGGCCTGTCTTACACTCAACGTCCCATTCTCCTTCCTTGCTATGGTTGTATAATTTATGTGGTTTTGTTTGGTGATAGACATGGAAATGTTCAGATATTTTTTGTATCTGTTTTCCGTTCATTTCAGTGAGCTTCCAGGTCATTGATTGCTTGTGTTATGTAAAGCAATACTTTGATATAATAAAACATGACACTGAATTAATGATAACAACTAAAATAACAGCATCATGACAACAGTTTGGTACAGGGAGAAGACAGTAGTTGCAAAAAACATAAAGATATGAAACACTAAATGTGGATGCAAGTTCTAACACATGGGTGCTAAGAATCAGAGGGAAACTCCTGAAAGACCCCTAAATTAGTTGCCTTTTGTTATTTTTGTTATTTAGTTGCAGAGAGCTTTTCCATTAAAATAGGTCCTGAGAACCCACACACGAAGTCAACAAATGACAGAAGCACAAGCAACAGTGAAGCCCGTACTGGGGCAGCAGCAACTCGAACGCCTGGATGGGACGGAGTGGCTTCCACACTCGCAGCAGCGCGTAGATCTCTGAGAGGCTGGCCCAGTCCCAGCTGATGGCGGCCTGCAGAATTCGTGGCAGCAGCGAAGGATGGGCTGTCATGTAGTGTCGGTATGTCCACAGAATCTCCAGCTCTTCTGCAGAAAACCTGTGGACGCCACAAAATCACAAGATATATTTACATATCAGAAATTACAAAATGCACATTAGAAATCACAAACTGTATACAAATCATAGATCACATTTCAGAAATCACAGAGCTACAAATCATGGAGCTAATGTCAGAAATTACAGATCACATGTCAATAATCACAAGACACATGTCAAGAACAGATCACTTCAGACAAGCATGACACCAAACCGCTGGCATTATTAATTACTGACAAACACTCAGGAAGTTTTCTCTCTCATTTTCTTTATTTCTCCCTCTCTCTCATTCTCTTTCTCAGTCTCTTATCTTTCTCTTTCTCTCTCACCGACTCAGTCTCTTTTTCACTCACTCTCTCACTGACTCTCTCTCTCTCTTTTTGACTCTCATTTTCTCTCTCATTTCTCACTCTTTCCAACTCTCTCACGGACACTCGGTCTCTCTCTTTCTTTCACTCTCTCATTTTTCTCTCTTTCACTAACTTTCTCAGGCTCTCTCATACACAGACTTACGAGAGACAAGACTCCTTCTCCATGACATTGGTCACCATGGTGCGAAGTTGTGGCGCCAGAAGGTCAAATGATCTTGTTGGGCTGTTGAGTAGACATTTTTAGCATATCATTAGCATATTAACTAATCATATTACTCACGTATTCTGAAATATCTTAGAGTAGTATTTTTTTTTTCTTTCTATCATTATCGCATATTCCTCACACATACACACATATGACACATATAAACTCAAGACAACTTTTTATTCAATCTGATCTTCTCTCTGTCAATCCGTATGTTATTTCCAATTCTCCAAATGCTTGTCTCTTACTTGACTTTTGGCTCAAAGATCAGCCTAGCCTAAAATCAGTAGACTGAAGAATTCTGGGAAGTATACCCAACCAGTCGGCTCTGTGGCTAAGTCGATGCGAACGCTTCGCTTCGTAATGCCGGGATGCCAGGTTCGATCCCAGCTGCGGGCAATGCGCCTTGCGTTGGTTTCGACAGTGGTATCAAGAAGAAAGTCGACCGTCCAGAAAGCAATGGCAAACTACTGGATGTAACTTGCCTAGAGAAACCACACAACAGCCAGGGGCTGTTGGGGTTGGTTCTGCAACGTCCTGTAAAGGATACGCAACTAACTTGTCGGCTCTGTGGCTAAGTCGATGCGAACGCTTCGCTTCGTAATGCCGGGATGCCAGGTTCGATCCCAGCTGCGGGCAATGCGCCTTGCGTTGGTTTCGACAGTGGTATCAAGAAAGCCGACCGTCCAGAAAGCAATGGCAAACTACTGGACGTAAATTGCCTAGAGAAACCACACAACAGCCAGGGGCTGTTAGGGTTGGTTCTGCAACGTCCTGTAAAGGATACGCAACTTTTTAAAAAAAAAAAAAAAAATACCCAACCAGCAGCAGACTGACTACACTGGGGTGTCAGCTTATCTGTCACAGATTACAGACAACAACAACACATCTCAAATCATGACTTTCTATCTCTCTCTTGTGTGTGTCTGTGTGTGCTCACGTGCGCAAGTGTGTGTGTGTGTGTGTGTCATATAGGATCCTTGTTGTTTTTATTCATCTATGAAACTCTGATGGCAACATTTGACTGTGTCTGTGTGTCTTTCTTCATCTCCAAAGGAGCTTCCTCATGCTTGTGTGTGCTGTATCCCTTCAATTGTGGAGATCAGCTGACTGCAAACACTTATGATGCCAATACTAGGAGATGGTTTCAGTGACTGATAAGTGGTTGATAAATGGATATCAAACATGATACAGAGAAAGGGTGATATGTGGTTGGTAAAAGGATACCAAACATGTTTCAGAGAAAGGGTGATATGTGGCTAATAAATGGACATCAAACATGTTTTAGAGACAGGGTGATATGTGGTTGATAAATGGACATTAAACATGTTACAGAGACAGGGTGATATGTGGTTAATAAATGGACATTAAACATGTTACAGAGACAGGGTGATGTGTGGTTAATAAATGGACATCAAACATGTTACAGAGACAGGGTGATGTGTGGTTGATAAATGGATACCAAACATGATACAGAGAAAGGGCACCCTCACCTGGTGGCTGCATTTAAGGGCTCCGGAAAGAAGATTGTCCTCTCAAAGTCTGGCAGGTTTACCTGTGAAAGAATACAACAATCTGTCTGTACCTGGCATGATGAGCCATTGCTGTGGCAGGATGTGAGGTTCCAATGGAGTGCCATGGTGATCCTGGTTGAATACCTAGACAGGAAGGACTTCTGTCCACTTCTTACCCCAACCTTCGCAGTGGACCAACCTTCGCAGTATGCCTCACACAGTGGGTATGCATCACACAGTGGGTATGCATCACACAATGGGTATGCCTCACACATTGGGTATGCCTCACACAGTGGTTATGCCTCACACAGTGGGTATGCCTCACAGACTGGGTATGCCTCACACAGTGGGTATGCTCACAGACTGGGTATGCCTCACACAGTGGGTATGCCTCACACAGTGGGTATGCCTCACACAGTGGGTATGAATCACAGACTGGGTATGCCTCACAGACTGGGTATGCCTCACACAGTGGGTATGCCTTACAGACTGGGTATGCCTCACAGACTGGGTATGCCTCACAGACTGGGTATACCTCACAGACTGGGTATGCCTCACACACAGGATCATCAGGGCACCTGGTGTAGTGTGTGACTTTTCTTTTACCAAAATCTACCTAAAAACTTAAATTGCATTTGTTAATGAGTAGTGTCCGGCCAACAGGGTAAGAACACAGGGCTCCCATTTAGAAGACCCAGGTTCATACCCTTGATTAGGCTGAGAATTTTTTGTTATGTCGGGAGCAAAAAAACACACCCTAACCTGTACAGTCTGTGGTGACAGCACTAGATAGGCAGCCTGAAATGCTTAGGCTCAAAGACCCCCCACTCTACATCAGTTGTCAACACAGGCAGATATAGCAGTTCTATTTCTGAAATGAGTCGGTTTACAAAACATACTCTGCCTACATCTACACTAGACACATCATGTGTGTACTCAAGTGAAAATCTCAAATGTAAACATGATACCCTTGTATATACACCAGCTGACAATATCTAACACAAGTCTAGATCCTGTCAACACTTACATTAAACCCACATCGGTACACACTTACATTAAACCCACATCGGTACACACTTACATTAAACCCACATCTGTACTCAGTTACATTAAACCCACATCGGTACACACTTACATTAAACCCACATCATTACCCAGTTACATTAAACCCACATTGGTACCCAATTACATAAAACCCACACTGCTACCCAGTTACATTAAACCCACATCTGTACACACTTACATTAAACCCACATCAGTACACACTTACATTAAATCCACATCTGTACACACTTACATTAAACCCACATCAGTACACACTTACATTAAATCCACATCTGTACTCAGTTACATTAAACCCACATCGGTACCCAATTACATAAAACCCACATCGTTACCCAGTTACACTAAACCCACATCATTACCCACTTACATTAAACCCACATCGCTACCAAGTTACATCAAACCCACATCGCTACCAAGTTACATTAAACCCACATCATTACCCAGTTACACTAAACCCAACATCATTACCCACTTACATTAAACCCGCATTGCTACCAAGTTACATTAAACCCAGATCGCTACCAAGTTACATTAAACCCACACTGCTACCCAATTCCAATAAACCCACACTGCTACCCAGTTACATTAAACCTATATCATTACCCAGTTACATTAAACCCACATCGCTACCCAGTTACATTAAACCCACATCATTACCCAGTTACATTAAACCCATATCGCTACCCAGTTACATTAAACCCACATCGTTACCCAGTTACATTAAACCCACATCATTACCCAGTTACATTAAACCCACATCGTTACCCAGTTACATTAAACCCACATCATTACCCAGTTACATTAAACCCACATCATTACCCAGTTACATTAAACCCACATCATTACCCAGTTACATTAAACCCACATCGGTTTCCGGCATCCTGTCACTCAACAGACGGTTAGTAACCTGCAGGCACACCATGTTACCAGACTAGAAGTGGACGAGAGAAAGCCACATCAACTTTCATATATATCTGCCACATCAAGTGAGTGACCTACCTGTACCAGTACCGAGTCTGGGAGTAGGGTCTTGCAGGATGGCATGATGGGATCCGAACTGACACCCATCATCAGGGGGACCAGCTGTGCACCCTGGTTCAGGTACCTGTGGCAGGTGAGAAAGAGCCAGTAGTGATCAGCATGTTACATAACATACTTAGAAAGTAACAAAGAGGATTCAACATTCCTACAAGGACACAGTATACAACATTCATTCAATATAACAGAGGATATCTACAACATTTAAATTATATAAAACAGAGGATACACACAACATTCATTCAAGACAACAGTATACAACATGCATACAAGATAATAGAAGATGTATACAAAAGAAGATAACAAGATACATACAACATTTATACAAGACAGCAGAGGATATGTACAACATTCATTCAAGATAACAGAGGATAAATACAACATTCAAACAAAATAACACAGAGGTTACATACAATATTCAGACAAGATAACACAGAGGATACATACAACATTCACATAAGATAACACAGAGAATACCTACAACATTTAACAAGATAACACAGAGGCTACTTACAACATTTATGCCAGATAACACAGAGGATACATTCAACATTCATACAAGATAACACAGAGAATACATACAACATTCATACAAAATAATACATACAATTTTGATACAAGATAACACAGAGAATACATACAAAATTCATACAAGACAACACAGAGAATACATACAACATTCATACAAGATAACACAGAGGGTACATACAACATTCATACAAGATAACACAGAGAATACATACAACATTCATACAAGACAACACAGAGAATACATACAACATTCATACAAGACAACACAGAGAATACATACAACATTCATACAAGACAACACAGAGAATACATACAACATTCATACAAGATAACACAGAGAATACATACAACATTCATACAAGATAACACAGAGAATACATACAACATTCATACAAGACAACACAGAGAATACATACAACATTCATACAAGACAACACAGAGAATACATTCAACATTCATACAAGATAACACAGAGAATACATACAACATTCATACAAGATAACACAGAGAATACATACAACATTCACACAAGATAACACAGAGAATACATACAACATTCATACAAGATAACACAGAGAATACATACAACATTCACACAAGATAACACAGAGAATACATACAACATTCATACAAGATAACACAGAGAATACATACAACATTCATACAAGACAACACAGAGAATACATACAACATTCATACAAGATAACACAGAGAATACATACAACATTCATACAAGATAACACAGAGGGTACATACAACATTCATACAAGACAACACAGAGAATACATACAACATTCATACAAGACAACACAGAGAATACATACAACATTCATACAAGACAACACAGAGGATATATTCATACAACATTTAATATTCACAAGGTAACATAGAGGATTATGCAGTAATTACAGGCATCAACATTCACAAATCTGACAGAAGTTATGCACTGAGTAAACTTCGGTCCTATTTATGTTTTCTGCCCCAGAAAGAGAGTGACTACCCTTGCCATTCGTAAATCGCCGTGTTGCAGGGCATGTCCCATGTTGCGGGAAACGTAAATAGGACCTAAACTTCTTCTGCTGAGACCAGTCATTAGTTTTCGGTGTGTGTGTGACCACGTTGTCACTGTACTGACCTGTCACCCTTTCACCTCACAATACTTTTACAATATTAACTTCTCCATTTTCGTTAAAAAGAAACGTACCCTCAAAATTCTCTGAAACCCTAGCTAAGAAACTGGAGGAAGAGGAAGAAGCAGAATGAATTTGGAGTCTTGGTCAGTTGTTACAAACATCCAAGGGGGTTGGAACCTATGACCACTGAGCAGACAGGAAAGTGTGATGGCTACTGTGACATTGTACCCTTTAAATCACTAACAGGATTCATATGAATATTTTTTTTCTTCCCTGTATGGGTTTCGGAGCCCTATTATTGGGAAAACAAGAACAGACCCCCTGCCTACCTCAAAGCACGTGGTAAGAGTCGACTTATTGGGAGCTTCCTTTGAAGTCGGAGTGCTTCTGCCTGAGAGGCAAGGAATCAGCAGTCTGCATTCAAAAGCGCTGGATGTGTCAAATGGATGCACATGCAACACTCAGGTTTTGAAACAGGACTGAAGTCCAGAAGTGGATGATTAACTATAACTTTCCATCAGAGTTTACAGCTGGTGAACGCGAAGAAGGAGAAGAAGATTTTTTAAATAAATTTTTCTGAGTGAAACCAAATCTGTTTTCAGTAAGACAATTATACACTAAATATTAATAGAAGCAGAGAATACACTGCTTTCATAATAAGATCATTGATAAAAAATTTTATTTTTAAGTGAGATGTTTCACCCCAAATAATATCTCCTCTTTTTTTTTGGGGTAAACACGAGGAAAAGTCATTAAGTAAAGGCAAATGTATCCTAGTCTGCAAGGAACAGTATGCAGAAAAAAAATATAATTTCACGACACAGAATGGTCCTTGACAATAGCCTAACGACATGATGTGACAATTTAGCATTTTCACATGCAAAACAGCTTGTATAAGATGGCCGCAGCACTGTTAACATGCACCCTGGAAGAGCAAAAAGGTGTTATTCATTATTGTGGGCAGAGGCTGTTAGACGGTTTGAAATTTATGGAAGAAGGAAGGTTTAAAACTGTGACTAGCACTCAATATTTTGACACATTAGCGAACAAGCTAAAGCCTGTGATCCAACTGAAAACACAGGGGTCTTCTCTAAAAAGGAGATTTATTGCTGCATGATGCCGTCTCCCTAAGACAAATTCTGCGGTGTGAAGTACTGAAACATCCATCACACAGCCCAGGCTTGGCCTTATGGGACTCATTTGTTTGTCTCACTGACAGAACGTTTGCGGGCTCAGAGATTTGCAGATGACAATGAGGTGATGGAGGTGGTGCAAACTAGGTTACTGACCACACCATAAAGCTTTCACCTGGCGGGCATCCATAATCTTGTGGATCGGTGGACATATATACTGTAAGGCTAGATCAAGATACAGAACAATTTTCTTCTGGCCCTTCGTTTTAAAAAAAAAAGTATCAGTGCAACTGCCTTCATCTAATGACTTCCCTTCATGTAATCGTACTCACCACGTGTACACACCATACAGTTGCAACCACCAAAGCTGCTTTCATTCTTTCACCCATAGAACTGCAGGTTACCCCTGGCTGCACAGAAACAGGCACACACAGGTACAGACTCAGTCAAATATGCACACACACACACACAGGTACAGTCAAACACACACAAACAAGCACATAAAGGGATAAAAACAGTCAAACATACACACACTCACAATCACATACAGGTATAGAAACAGTCAAATACACACACACATACACTCACACGCACATACAGTTATAGAAACAGTCAAATACACACACACACAAGCACATACAGGTATAGAAACAGTCAAATACACACACACACACTCACACACACAGGTATAGAAACAGTCAAATACACACACACACACTCACACACACAGGTATAGAAACAGTGAAATACACACACACACACACAGGTAAAGACAGTCAAATACACACACAAGCACACGCATGCACGCACACACACACACACACACTCACACACAGGTATAGAAACAGTGAAATACACACACACACACAGGTAAAGACACAGTCAAATACACACACACACAAGCACACGCATGCACGCACACACTCACACAGGTATAGAAACAGTGAAATACACACACAGGTATAAAAACAGTGAAATACACACACACACACAAGCACACGCATGCACGCACGCATGCACACACACACACACACACACACACACACACACACACACACACACACACACAGAGGTTAAGACACAGTCAAATACATATAAACAAAAGAATCAGCTGGGCTTACCCTTTCTCATTAAAGAGCTGGATGGCTGCTGCCCCTAGAGGATATGTCACTTTCTTGCCTTCCGACGAGGCTTCCCCTTTGTCTGAGGCCTTGTCTGTGGCCTTTTCCCCTGCTCCAATGGTACTGCGAGTCCCACAGAGCATGAGGCACAGTCTGGTCTCCCGGGGAAGTGTACAGAGGTGAACCTTGTCAAACTGCAGCCTGTACAATAAAAGTGAACACAGGTGAACCTTGTCAAACTGTAGCCTGCAGAACACAAGTGTACATAGGTAAACCTTATCAAACTGTAGCCTGCACAACACAAGTGTACACAGGTAAACCTTATCAAATTGTAGCCTGCTCAACACAAGTGTAAACAAGTGAACCTTGTCAAACTGCAGCCTGTACAACAGAAGTGTACACAGGTGAACCTTGTCAAACTGTAGCCTGCACAACACAAGTGTAAACAAGTGAACCTTGTCAAACTGCAGCCTGTAAAATAAAAGTGTACACAGGTGAACCTTGTCAAACTGCAGCATGTACAATAAAAGTGTACACAGGTGAACCTTATCAAATTGTAGCCTGCACAACACAAGTGTAAACAGGTAAACCTTGTCAAACTGCAGCCTGGACAATAAAACTGTACACAGGTAAACCTTATCAAACTGTAACCTGCTCAACACAAGTGTACACAGGTAAACCTTGTCAAACTGTAGTCTGTACAACACAAGTGTACACAGGTTAACCTTATCAAATTGTAGCCTGCACAACACAAGTGTACACAGGTGAACCATGTCAAACTGTGGTATGTAGAACACAAGTTATGCAGGTGAACCTTGTCAAACTGTGGTATGTACAACTCATGTGTACACAGGTGAACCATGTCAAACTGTGGTATGTACAACACAAGTGTACACAGTTGAACCATTTCAAACTGTGATATGTACAACACAGGTGAACCATGTCAAACTGTGATATGTACAACACAGGTGAACCATGTCAAACAGTGATATGTACAACACAGGTGAACCATGTCAAACTGTGATATGTACAACACAGGTGAACCTTGTCAAACTGTGATATGTACAACACAGGTGAACCATGTCAAACTGCATGACTAACATTAATATATTTAATGACTAACATTAATATACTTAATGCCAGTAATTCTGCTCCTGATTTTATTATAATAATTATAATTACTACTGCAATGCTTCTTATTCTGATGATATTACTCAAACCATTATTATTATAACTTCTGCTATTAATACAAAAACTAATCACTTGAACAAAGCTACTAACTGTGCTAAAACTAAATCAATTATTATTACAAATAAGTGCCAATGAATGATAGAAGAAAACAGCACTGAGGCCTGACCATTCATCCCAGCAGATCCTCTCACAGAGACCTCTGGAGAGAGCCTTCAGAGATGTGCTGATGTCTGGTGCCAGTCTCTTGGTCCCATGGTACAGGCTGCAGACTATCTTGTAGTCCTCAAACCTGGTCACACAAAATAACAATTGTTACAGACAATCTTATTGTCCTCAAACCTGGTCACACAAAACAACAGTTTTCTTATCCTTAAGGTCCTCAAATATTGTCACACAAAAATAGCTGTTACATTAATACAGTCCTCAAACCTGATCACACAAAACAACAGTTGTCTTATCCTTACAGTTCTCAAATCTTGTCACACAAAACAACAGTTGTCTTATCCTTACAGTCCTCAAACCTGATCACACAAAACAACAGTTGTCTTATCCTTACAGTCCTCAAATCTTGTCACACAAAACAACAGTTGTCTTATCCTTACAGTCCTCAAGCCTGATCACACAAAACAACAGTTGTCTTATCTTTACAGTTCTCAAATCTTGTCACACAAAACAACAGTTGTCTTATCCTTACAGTCCTCAAACCTGATCACACAAAACAACAGTTGTCTTATCCTTACAGTTCTCAAATCTTGTCACACAAAACAACAGTTGTCTTATCCTTACAGTCCTCAAACCTGATCACACAAAATAACAGTTGTCTTATCCTTACAGTCCTCAAATCTTGTCACACAAAACAACAGTTGTCTTATCCTTACAGTCCTCAAACCTGATCACACAAAACAATAGTTGTCTTATCCTTACAGTCCTCAAACCTGATCACACAAAACAACAGTTGTCTTATCCTTACAGTCCTCAAATCTGATCACACAAAACAACAGTTGTCTTATCCTTACAGTCCTCAAATCTTGTCACACAAAATAATAGTTGTCTTATCCTTACAGTCCTCAAACCTGATCACACAAAACAATAGTTGTCTTATCCTTACAGTTCTTAAACCTGATCACACAAAACAACAGTTGTCTTATCCTTACAGTCCTCAAACCTGATCACACAAAACAACAGATGTCTTATCCTTACAGTCCTCAAATCTTGTCACACAAAACAATAGTTGTCTTATCCTTACAGTCCTCAAATCTTGTCACACATAAAAACAGCTGTAACATTCCTACAGTCCTCAAACCTGATCATACAAAACAACAGTTTTCTTATCCTTACAGTCCTCAAATCTTGTCACACAAAAATATGGCTGTATCATTCCTACATACCTCAAATCTTTCTTGTCAACAAAAACAACAGCTGTTACATTCCTATAGTCCTAAAATCTTGTCACATAAAATAACAGTTGTTACATTCCTACAGTTCTCAAATTGTCATACAAAACAACAGCTGTCACATTCCTACAGTCCTGAAACCTGGTCACACGCTCCCCAAAAAAATAGTTGTCACATTCCTAGTCCTCAAATCTGGTTACACAAAACTACATCAGCCAGATAAAGTGGAAGAAGATCAGTGACAGGACATCAACCAGTGGACATCAGGAGACGACAAACATATGAGGCAGGTCAAGGACATCATACAATGTAACATATTCTTGAAGATGCCTTCAAGACACTACTTACTGGACAGCACTAAGTGGAGATGACCTGGCGGACAGGACTAAGCGGACATGATTTAGGAGAGGACAGGATTAGGAGGACATGATTTAGAGGACAGGATTAAGAGGACAGGACTAAGAGATCATGACTTAAGAGAGGACAGGATTAAGAGGACATGATTTAGAGGACAGGACTATGACAGGACTAAGAGGACTAAGAGGATAGGACTAAGAGGACATGACTTAGGAGAGGACAGGATTAAGAGGACACAACTAAGACAGGACTAAGAGGACAGGACTAAGAGGGTACTCACTGGTTGGTCCAGGCGGCTGGGATGCGGTGAGCAGATGAGAGACAGACAATGAGGTATTCCTGCAGCTGGACAACTTCTAGGTGATCTGGGGGTTCAATGACATGAGAGCTCATCACACAGTGGGAAGTGTATGGGTAACAACAAGCAGTGGGACGTGGGAAGTGTGAGGGTCACAAAAGGCAGTGAGACGTGGGAAGTGTGAGGGTCACAACAGGCAGTGGGACATGGGAAGTGAGAGGGTCACAACGGGCAGTGGGATATGGGAAGTGTGTGGGTAACAACAGGCAGTGGGACATGGGAAGTGTGTGGATCACAAAAGGCAGTGGGACATCGCAGGGGACAACAGGCAGTGGAACATGGGAAGTGTGAGGGTCACAACAGGCAGTGGAACATGGGAAGTGTGAGGATCACAACAGGCAGTGGGACATGGGAAGTGTGTGGGTCACAACAGGCAGTGGGACGTGGGAAAAGTGTGGATAACAACAGGCAGTGGGGGGAAGTGTGTGAGTCACAACAGGCAGTGGGACAACAGGCAGTGGGACATGGGAAGTGTGAGGGTCACAAAAGGCAGTGGGACATGGGAAGTGTGAGGGTCACAAAAGGCAGTGGGACATGGGAAGTGTGAGGGTCACAACAGGCAGTGGGACATGGCAGGGGACAACAGGCAGTGGGACAAGGCAGGGGGACAGGCAGCAGGATGTGCAGGGAGGACATGTAGTGGGACATATGGAGAAGACAAATCATGGACAAATGTTACGCACATGAGAGGAAGGGTGTGGAAACATGGTCTTGGCTCGCCCAACAGAGGGAGATACTGAAGACAAGACACACCTGTCCCAAGTCCGAATGAAGATGAGCAACAACAATTATGTCAATCCACATACACCAGTGGTTTCCAACCTTTTTCAGGTTGCGACCAACTTGAGTATATGGCAAACTTCTTTGCCTCTCCTTAAGTATATGACAAGCGTCCCCCCCCCCCCCCCGCCCCCTTTAAGTATGTGAAAAGACCTCAACACCCCCTGTCAGTGTATGGCAAGGCACCCATGTCCCTCTTGAGTATATAGCAAGACCCCCATGTCTTCCTTGAGTATATAGCAAGACCCCCATGTCTCCCTTGAGTATATAGCAAGACTCCCATGTCTCCCTTGAGTTTATAGCAAGACCCCCATGTCTCCCTTGAGTATATAGCAAGACCCCCATGTCCCTCTTGAGTATATAGCAAGACCCCCATGTCTCCCTTGAGTATATAGCAAGACCCCCATGTGCCCTCCCTCAAACAAAGCAAAATGTGATTACAAAGAAGAGGACAACAGAATCCCCAACAAGGGAAACAAAAAGTATAGAGACAAGTTATGGTCAGAATGTATTCATGATCTATAACTAAATATAGGTGCTATCATTCTAATTACATTTTACAAACTGTTCAAAAAAAAAAAAAAAACGTTTTTGGCTTTTAGTTGTTTAAATAGTTTTACAAATGTGTTACTTATAATTAAGCTGAAGTGATCGGACTGTGACAAATACGAATGCCCTCAATTAGAAAACTGCTTGACGCACCCCTTTAAAACTCTGCAACCCAGGTTGGTAACCTCTGACTTACATGAAGATGGGACATAATTATGTCAAGTCCCCCTCCACCCACCCATGCACACAGAAACCCACACATGCATACAGACTTTCACCCATGCACACAGACACCCACACATGCATACACCCCAACTCACCCACCTACACACACATGACAAATAAGAGGGACATAGCACATTTGATAGGAAACTCGCTTTTAAATCCAGCTGCGACTGGTTGCAGTCCACAGCCCTTGTTTGAAACCGGATGGTTCCCAGGGTTCACCCAGCCTCTAGGAAATGGGTACCAAAGTTAACACTCTGGGGTAAATAGAGGAACGTCTCTGCAGCTACAGTGTTGCATGAGGACAGTGACACAGCGGACAGTTTCTTATCAGCTGTCAGTACTGGTGGCAGAGCAAGTATGGTTTATAACCATGTGCAATGATGCTGGTTCACATCTACTGACTTTTAATTTTTTTGTTTTTTTTACAACATTCCCACCACACACACAACATATGGGAGGGACACAATTGTTACACCACACAAAGCCAGCAACCACCTACACGACATATGGGAGGGATGCAACAGTCCCACCACACAATGCCAGCACCCACCTACACACATTCAACACATAGGAGGGACACAACAGTCCCACCAAACAAAACCAGCACCCACCTACACACACATACAACATATGGGAGGGACACAATTGTCCCACCAAACAAAACCAGCACCCACCTACACACACATACAACATATGGGAGGGACACAATTGTCCCACCACACAAAGCCAGCAACCACCTACACGACATATGGGAGGGATGCAACAGTCCCACCACACAATGCCAGCACCCACCTACACACATTCAACACATAGGAGGGACACAACAGTCCCACCAAACAAAACCAGCACCCACCTACACACACATACAACATATGGGAGGGACACAATTGTCCCACCAAACAAAACCAGCACCCACCTACACACACATACAACATATGGGAGGGACACAATTGTCCCACCACACAAAGCCAGCAACCACCTACACGACATATGGGAGGGATGCAACAGTCCCACCACACAATGCCAGCACCCACCTACACACATTCAACACATAGGAGGGACACAACAGTCCCACCAAACAAAACCAGCACCCACCTACACACACATACAACATATGGGAGGGACACAATTGTCCCACCAAACAAAACCAGCACCCACCTACACACACATACAACATATGGGAGGGACACAATTGTCCCACCACACAAAGCCAGCAACCACCTACACACACATACAACATATGGGAGGGACACAATTGTCCCACCAAACAAAACCAGCACCCACCTACACACACATACAACATATGGGAGGGACACAATTGTCCCACCAAACAAAACCAGCACCCACCTACACACACATACAACATATGGGAGGGACACAATTGTCCCACCACACAAAGCCAGCAACCACCTACACACACATATGACACATGGGAGGGACACAATTGTCAAACAACACAAAGCCAGCACCCACCGTGTGGTATAACAACAGAAGACCCCAAAAAGAAGTCTGTGAGAAAAGTCTGGCAGTACATCTTGACCAGCCGCTTGACCGCCTCCACAAGCTGGTCCACGGTCTCCTTGAGGTCATCCACTAGAGAGCACCTCAGAGCCACACTGGAAGAGGCAAAGTCAAGGCAGGGGATTAGATGTAGCAACAAGCTTCTGGGTCCGCACACACCACAGCATCCCCACTGACTGTCTATACATAACTTCTTGTTCCTCAAGTGAGCATTAACCAGGTGAGCCATCTTCTAATGTGACCCATTTATTGAATACAGGACAATCTTGTGTGTTTGTTGTTTTCTCTTTCTTGTCTGTTCAAGTGATGTCCCTTCAAGCAGTTCTGCTGTGTTTCAAGTATGCATTGCTATATTTTCTTCTGAGTGTCTCTGGTCTGGCAGATCTTAACTTCTGCGACTGTGGTCAGAAGCAGTGTCTGCTGACACTGAAACAGGGTGTCGATCATCTTCCACTAGGTCTTTCTGCAGGAATTCTCTATCTGGCACATTTTAAATACAGCAACAAAAGCCATAAGAATCATGAAAATACACAAAGTAATAACAACAATATTGTCAACAATTTAAAAGAAAAAACAGTAACAACAACGGCAGCAATATAACTAAACATAAGAACAATAGACTGTCTGCTGAGTGACCTACTTGATAGCATCTTGTGTTTCCCTGTCCTGGGACTTGCCGTACATGCCCTGAATCTTTGAGCTAGGACTCTAGGGAAAGACAAACACACACACAAATATTTCATCTCACAGCATCAATACTGGCTTATCACCTATAAACACATACACACACAAACAAACAAACAAACAAACAGGAAGCACGCACGCACGCACGCATGCATGCACGCACGCATGCACGCACGCATGCACGCACGCACACAAATATTTAATCTCACAGCATCAATACTGACTTATCAGCCCAAAAATTCCATACACACATTTAATCTAATGCATTACACCAACAAATCACACACACACAGGCATCCACATTTTTCTCAAAACAACAAGACTACATGAAAACAGACATAAACACATTCACATATACACACAATTAATCTAAATAGAACAGTATCAACAGTTGACACATTTCTCATGACAACAACACAATTCTCAATGTAACTGTCATTTTTTACACTGTGATGGCCTCAGTGGTTTTCCTTGTATGCAGACTGTTTGTTCCTTGCCTCTCAGACCATGTAACTGCTATGTAACTTATCATCTTCTACACTGTGGTTTCCCTCATGTGACAGACCAGCTCCATGAAATCAGCTAATGTCTCCTCACTGCTTCTAGCCCAAGGGCTGTGCCACATCCTCCTCTCATATACCATCAGCTGATCCCCATCTTCAGACTACTGACAAGTTTCATGCTCCATAGTGACTCCCACCAGCAACACCCTGGGACCATGTGACCTATCTGAGACAAGTTTCCAAATATTCTGTGATGGGGGTAACAAGATGGTTACAGCCACAGATGTACGGACGCTCAGGACAATGCAGTCACTCACCCACAGATGTGTGGATCTTCAGGACAATGCACTCACTTACCCACAGATGTGTGGACGTTCAGGACAATGCACTCACTCAGCCACATGTGTGGACCCTCAGAACAATGCACTTACTCAGCCAGATGTGTGGTCCTTCAGGACAATGCACTCACTCACCCACAGATCGGTGGATCTTCAGGACAATGCACTCACTCACCCACAGATGTGTGGTCCTTCAGGACAATGCACTCACTCACCCACAGATCGGTGGATCTTCAGGACAATGCACTGACTCACTTACAGATGTACAGATGTTCAGGACAATGCAGTCACTCACCCACAGATGTGTGGATCTTCAGGACAATGCACTCACTTACTCAAGATATGTGGACCTTCAGGACAATGCACTCACTCAGCCACACGTGTGGACCCTCAGAACAATGCACTTACTCAGCCACAGATGTGTGGTCCTTCAGGACAATGCACTCACTCACCAACAGATGTGTGGTCCTTCAGAACAATGCACTCTCACCCACAGATATGTGGTCCTTCAGGACAATGCACTCAGTCACCCACAGATGTGTGGTCCTTCAGGACAATGCACTCACTCACCCACAGATGTGTGGACCTTCAGGACAATGCACTCACTCACCCACATATGTGTCGACCCTTATCGACCGATGTTTGGGTCTAGCCACTAAGAAAACATGAGACGTCCAGCCTAAGGCCTCTCCTATAATTTGATGTTAAACTAACAACAGACAACTGTTCCAGGCTGACAACAACAACAACACACACACACCGTAAACAGACACATAACACATGACCAGGTGCAGGGGCGGCTACTCACTGCCAGCTCAGAAACATTGCGCTGAAGTTTCTCCAAAGTCTTTGTGATCTCCACAGTCTCCACTTTGGCCAGGTTGTAGCAGATGGCTTTCACTGACTTTAAAAGGTTCTTCATGCTGAATGCCCCATAGGAACTCTGCAACAAGCCAAAGGCAGAAATGTAGCTTCCTGGGAGACAAACTGTTGAACTCTACAAATGAAAGGTAGAACTTTAGGTTCAAGCAAGAAACATTCCACAATTCTATAAACCAAAGGGAGAACTTTAGGTTTATTCAAGAAACATTGCAGAACTCTAAAAATGAAAGGCAGTACTTTTCATGCAAGAAACATTCCACAATTCTATAAACCAAAGGGAGATCTTTAGGTTTTTTCAAGAAACATTGCAGAACTCTAAAAATGAAAGGCAGTAATTTAGGTTCATGCAAGAAACATTCCACAATTCTATAAACCAAAGGGAGAACTTTAGGTTCATGCAAGAAACATTCCACAATTCTATAAACTAAAGGGAGAACTTTAGGTTTATTCAAGAAACATTGCAGAACTCTAAAAATGAAAGGCAGTAACTTTGGTTCATGCAAGAAACATTCCACAATTCTATAAACCAAAGGGAGAACTTTAGGTTCATGCCAGAAACATTCCACAATTCTATAAACCAAAGGGAGAACTTAAGGTTTATTCAAGAAACATTGCAGAACTCTAAAAATAAAAGGCAGTACTTTAGGTTCATGCAAGAAACATTGCAGAAGTCTACAAACCAAAGGGAGAACTTTTGATTCATGGGAGACAAACTGCAGAATTCTACAAACCAAGGGGATAACTTTTTATTCATGGGAGCCAAACTTTAGAACTCTAGTTTTATGGGAGATAAACTGCAGAGCTCTAAAAATGAAAGGGAGAACTTTAGATTCATGGGAAATAATTTGCAGAACCAAAAGCAGAAATTTAGGGTCATGTGAGACAAACTTTAGAACTCTACAAACTAAAGGGAGAACTTTTGATTTATAGGAGACAAAGTGTAGAAATCAGCAAATGAAAGGGAGAACTTAAGGTTTATGGGAGACAAACTCTAGAATGAAAGGCAGAACTCTAGATTCGTGGGAGTCAAATTGTAAAATGAAAGGCAGAACTCTAGGTTCATGGGAGACAAACTGTAACACTCTTCAAACCAAAAGCATAACCTCAGGTTTATGGGAGACATTCTGTAGCATTTTATGAACCAAAGGGAGAACTTAAGTTCATGGTAGACAAACTGTAGAACTCTATAAACCAGAGGGAGAACTTTTGCAAGCACATACATGCAACATACTGACTCAAAACTACAGTCATACACAATAAAGCCATTTGCATACATACCTGAGTGAAATGCTCCAGTAAAACATCCACTTCGTGGTAAAATGTGTCGATGTAGACAGTCAGAGCATTCCTGGAATCAACAACATCACAGGCAAGGCATCAAAACCATGTCATCACAGATATCCCACACATTATGCCATCAGAAACATAGCACACATCATGGCATCAAAAATATAGCACACATCATGGCATCAGAAATATAGCACACATCATGGCATCAGAAATATGGCACACATCATGCCATCAGAAATATGCCAAACACTATGCCATTAGAAATATGGCACACATCATGGCATCAGAAATAATGCAAACACCATGCCATCAGACATACAGCACACATCATGGTAACTGAGATATGGAACACATCATGGCATCTGAGATATAGCATACATCATTCCATTAGACATATTGCACACATCTTGCCATCACAAATATAGCACACATCATGACATCAGAAATATGGCACATATGAGATCAGAAATATGGCACACATCGTGCCATCAGAAATATGGCACACATCATGACATCATAAATATGGCACACATCATACCATCAGACATATGGCACATATCATGCCATCAGACATTTGGCACTTATCATGACATCTGAGATATGGCACACATCATAGCACCTGAGATATGACACACATCATGCCATCAGACATATAGCACACATCATGGCATCAGAAATATGGCACATATCATGCCATCAGACATATAGCCTACATCATAGCCTCAGAAATATGGCATAAATCATGGCATCTGAGACATGGCTCAAATCATGGCACACAGCATGCCATCTGAGATATAGCACACATCATACCATCTGAGATATAGCACACATAATGGCATCATAAATATGGCACACATTATGGCATCAGAAATAATGCATACACCATGCCATCAGACATATAGCACACATCTTGGCATCTGAGATATGGAAAACATCATGGCATCTGAGATATGGCACACATCATGCCATCAGACATTTAGCACACATCATGCGATCAGACTTATAACACACATTATGGCCTCAGAAATATGGCACACATCATGTTATCTGAGATATGGCACACATCATGCCATATGAGATATAGCAAACGTCATGCCATCTGAGATATAGCACACATCATGCCATCTGAGATATAGCACACAACATGCCATCATAAACATGGCAACATGATGCCATCAGAAATTATGGCACATGTTATACCATTAGACACATAGCACACATCATGGCATCAGACATACAGCATAAGTCATGCCATCTGAGATATGGCACACATCATGCCATCTGAGATATGGCACACATCATGACATCATAAATTATGGCACACATTATGCCATGAGACATATAGCACACATCATGCTATCAGAAATATAGCACATATCATGCCATCAGAAATATGGCACATCATGAAATCAAAGATTATGGCACACATCATGCCATCAGACACAAAGCATACATCATGTCATCAGACATTTCCCACACACCATGGCATCAAACAAATAGCACACACCATGGTATTAGACCTATAGCTCACATCATGGCATCTGAGATATGGCTCACATCATGATATCAGAAATTATGGCACACATCATGCCATCTGAGATATAGCATACATCATGCCATCAGAAATATGGCACACATCGTGGCATTAGAAATATGGCACACATTATGGCATTTGAGATATGGCACACATTATTCCATCAGAAATATGGGGCACAAATCATACCATCAGAAATTATGGCACTCATCATGCCATCAGACAGATAGCACACATTATGCTATTAGACGTATAGCACACATCATGTCATCAGACATATAGCACACACCATGGCATCAAACATATAGCACACATCATGGTATCAGACATATAGCACACATCGTGGTTTCTTACATCACTTCTTACTGGACAGACAAACATGACTAAATCACTGGCTGAATGACTGAAGTGACTAAATGACTGACTGACTGGAGTAACAAAATCACTGACTGACTGGACTGACTGAATCACTGACTGACTGGAGTGACTGAATCACTGACTGACTGGAGTGACTGAATCACTGAATGACTGGAGTGAGTGAATGACTGACTGGAGTAAGTAAATGATTGACTGACTGGAGTGAGTGAATGATTGACTGACTGGAGTAAGTAAATGATTGACTGACTGGAGTGAGTGAATCACTGACCGACTGGAGTGAGTGAATGACTGACTGACTGGAGTGAGTGAATGATTGACTGACTGCAGTAAGTGAATGATTGACTGACTGGAGTGAGTGAATTACTAACTGACTGGAGTGAGTGAATGATTGACTGACTGGAGTGAATGAATGATTGAATGACTGGAGTGAGTGAATTACTAACTGACTGGAGTGAGTGAATCACTGAATGACTGGAGTGAGTGAATGACTGACTGGAGTGAGTGAATGATTGACTGACTGGAGTAAGTGAATGATTGACTGACTGGAGTGACTGAATGACTGACTGGAGTGACAGAATCACTGACTGACTGGAGTGACTGAATCACTGACCTACTGGAGTGATTGAAACATTGGCTGACTGGAGTGAGTGAATAATTGACTAGAGTGAGTGACAGTGCTTGAGTTAATGATTGTTTGATTGAATCGCTGCACTGTGGTGAAGAATTCATGGATAGATGGAATAACTGGTTTGTGACTGACCGACAGTCACTGACCGAATGATTACTTACTGTGAGATGGCTGTTCCGTCTGCATTGATGTATTCCTTGGGGAAGTACAAGATCTGGGCATCATCATCTCTCTGGAAGAAGACAGAATGAAACTTTCAACATCCAACATCACAGCAAACCCAGACGGAATCAAACTTTCAAAGTCCAACATCACAGCAAACCCAGAGAGAATCAAACAGTCCACATCCAACATCACATCACAGCTAATCCAAATAGAATCAAACCGATAACATCTAACTTCACAGCAAAACCCAGAGTGATTCACACTTTCAACATAAAACATCACAGCAAACCAGTGCCTCCCACATTTTTCTTTCTCTAGGCTGTAGTTCAACAGGACATTGTAACTTCTCTTTCGAGACTCATTGAGTGTTTCCTCTAATAGCCTGGGGTGTAGAGATTTACATAACTTGACACTCTACAGAAGACAAAGGTCTGGCTCAGCCTTTACTCGTCTAGCCTGGGGTTTCCATCTGGCTCATTGTTGGCTCTGTTGATTTATCTAGCTCACAGCTGTTCCAGCTAGCTCATGGATCTAGTGTTCCAGCTAGCTAATGGCTTTGCTGTTCCAGCTAGCTTATGGATCTAGTGTTCCAACTAGCTTATGGATCTAGTGTTCCAGCAAGCTCATGGATCTAGTGTTACAGCAAGCTCATGGATCTAGTGTTCTAGCTGGCTCATGGATATAGTGTTCCAGCTAGCTCATGGTTCTAGTGTTCCAGCTAGCTCATGGTTCTGGTGTTCCAGCTAGCTTATGGATCTAGTGTTCCAGCTAGCTTATGGATCTAGTGTTCCAGCAAGCTCATGGATCTAGTGTTACAGCAAGCTCATGGATCTAGTGTTCCAGCTAGCTCATGGATATAGTGTTCCAGCTAGCTCATGGTTCTAGTGTTCCAGCTAGCTCATGGTTCTGGTGTTCCAGCTAGCTCATGGTTCTGGTGTTCCAGCTAGCTTATGGATCTAGTGTTCCAGCTAGCTCATGGTTCTAGTGTTCCAGCTAGCTCATGGTTCTAGTGTTCCAGCTAGCTCATGGTTCTGGTGAACCAGCTAGCTCATGGTTCTAGTGTTCCAGCTAGCTCATGGTTCTGGTATTCCAGCTAGCTCATGGTTCTGGTGTTCCAGCTAGCTCATGGTTCTAGTGTTCCAGCTAGCTCATGGATCTGGTATTCCAGCTAGCTCATGGTTTTGGTGTTCCAGCTAGCTCATGGTTATGGTATTCCAGGTAGCTCACAGCCGACTCTTGTGTTCCAGCTATCTCATGGCTCTGTGTTCCAGGTAGCTTCAGCTGTCCCTTGTGTTCCAGCTAGCTCCTGGTTCTGGTGTTCCACTCAGCTCACAGTTGGTTCCGTTGCTCCAGCTGATCAGACAGTCTGTGACAGTATCAGATATCATCATGAAGACACGAGACACACAGTCTGTAAGACATAAATCTACGAGACAGACAGGCAGTTGTGAACTCACAGTTCTTATGAAAGGCCTGGACACCTCCTCGATGCTGACCAACTCCAGACAAATGTCGCGGTCCACCTTTAAACAGCTGTGGGTGTACTCAAACTTCGCCAGTGGCAGGTCACTGGCAGAAAGAGATGGTTGTTTAAGTAACAGAGATATGATTGCTGCTTAAGTAGTCAGAGAGAGCTGTTTAAGTAATCTGGGTGCTGCTTAGGTAGTCAGAGAGCTGTTTAAGTAATCTGGGTGCTGCTTAGGTAGTCAGAGACAGCTGTTTACGTAGTCAGAGAGAGCTTTTTAAGTAGTCAGAGAGAGCTTTTTAAGTAGTCAGAGAGAGCTGTGTAAATAATTTCAGTGCTGCTTAGGTAGTCAGAGAGAGCTGTTCAAGTAGTAAGAGAGAGATGTTTAGTAGTCAGAGTTCTTTATGTAGTCAGGGAGATAGTTGTTTAAGCAGAATATTGTATAAATAGATGACTGTTTAAGTAGATAAAGAGACAGCTGTTTAAGCAGATAAAGAGATGATTGTTTAAGTAGACAGTGAAATGGTTTTTTTAAGTAGACAGAGAAATGGTTGTTGAAGTAGATAAAGAAATGGTTGTTTAAATAGACAGAAAGACGGTTTTTTTAAGTAGATAGAGAGTTGCTTAAGCAGATTGAGACACAGTTGTTCAAGTAAACAGACAGATGGTTGTTTAAGCAGATGACTGTTTATGTAGACAAAGACATTTGTTTAAGTAGATAGACAGTTGTTTAAGTAGACAGTGAGAGACGGTTATTTAAACAGAGAGATGGTTGTTTACGCAGAGAGAGAGAGTAGACAGAGATGGTTGTTTAAGTGGACACAGAGACAGTTGTTTAAGTAGATAGAGAGATATGGTAGTTTAGGTAGACAGATAAACTACTGACAGCCAAACTGAGGTAAACTGTTCAGAGACTGCAGAGATGCCGCAAGTAAACATTTCACAAAGATGTTACATAGATGAACCCTACCTGAACATAAATATCTCCCTTCTGACCTCATTACTAATTACTCCTCTCTCTCTCTCTCTCTCTCACACACACACACACTCCTAATCTCATCATTAGTGACTCTTCTCTCTCCTAACCTGACCTCTAATGGCTCCTCTAACAGCTTACTTGCACAGATACTCAGAGCGATCGTAAACTTTGAGGATGAACTTGTCGGTGTTGATCTCACCGTCTGTTGGAGACAGCATACACAGGACATGACTGATGACATGCTCCACCAGGGCACTCGCTGAAACAAGAGACCACTCACATCAACTTGCAAGGTGAAGGTACCACTACTTATCTACCTGTATTTCTTTCTCTTGCTTCTTTTGTCACTCACTGATACCAAGTGTTGTGGTTTTGTCATCTCACTGATACCAGGTTGTAGCCAAGTATTGCGGTTTTATCATCTCACTGATACCAGGTTGTAGCCCAGTGTCATGTTTTTGTAATCTCACTGATACCAGGTTGTAGCCCAGTGTTGTGGTTTTGTCATATAAATGACACCAGGTTGTAGCCCAGTGTCATGGTTTTGTCGTCTCACTGATACCAGGTTGTAGCCCAGTATTGTGGTTTTCTGCATTTGCCTTGCATTTCTCTGCTGATTTTGGTGACGTTCACTAATGGAAACACCAGGTCAGCTGACATTTTTGCACTATATCAGAGGTGTGGACCTTTTCTGCCACAAGCTATTTAGATATTGATAACCTCATTCATAGATAATACCAAATTATCAACTGAAACATTGCCCAGCTCTATCTGGCTGCACCAAAAGATTTAGTGAGCCACATAAGACTGGCAGGCCTCACCAAACAATTCTGTGGGCCACATATGACTGGCAGGTCACACCAAACAATTCTGTGGGCCACATATGACTGGCAGGTAACACCAAATAATTATGTGGGCCACATATGACTGGCAGGTCACACCAAACAATTCTGTGGGCCACATATGACTGGCAGGTAACACCAAACAATTATGTGGGCCACATATGACTGGCAGGTCTCACCAAACAATTCTGTGGGCCACATATGACTGGCAGGTCACACCAAACAATTCTGTGGGCCACATATGACTGGCAGGTCACACCAAACAATTATGTGGGCCACATATGACTGGCAGGTCACACCAAACAATTCTGTGGGCCACATATGACTTGCAGGTCACACCAAACAATTCTGTGGGCCACATATGACTGGCAGGCCAGAGAAAACAATTATGTGGGCCACATCTGACTGGCAGGCCAGAGAAAACAATTATGTGGGCCACATCTGACTGGCAGGCCAGAGAAAACAATTATGTGGGCCACATCTGACTGGCAGGCCAGAGAAAACAATTATGTGGGCCACATATGACTGGCAGGCCAGAGAAAACAATTATGTGGGCCACATCTGACTGGCAGGCCAGTGAAAACAATTATGTGGGCCACATGTGACTGGCAGGCCAGTGAAAACAATTATGTGGGCCACATATGACTGGCAGGCCAGAGAAAACAATTATGTGGGCCACATATGACTGGCAGGCCAGAGAAAACAATTATGTGGGCCACATATGACTGGCAGGCCAGAGAAAACAATTATGTGGGCCACATATGACTGGCAGGCCAGAGAAAACAATTATGTGGGCCACATATGACTGGCAGGCCAGAGAAAACAATTATGTGGGCCACATCTGACTGGCAGGCCAGAGAAAACAATTATGTGGGCCACATCTGACTGGCAGGCCAGAGAAAACAATTATGTGGGCCACATATGACTGGCAGGCCAGAGAAAACAATTATGTGGGCCACATATGACTGGCAGGCCAGAGAAAACAATTATGTGGGCCACATATGACTGGCAGGCCAGAGAAAACAATTATGTGGGCCACATATGACTGGCATAGCCAGAAGTTACTCAGCTCTGCTCTAGATGTTGAGGGGCTGTTGTTTCGAGCTGTCAACTTGGGACAAGAGAGCAATCTGTGTCTGAGTCTTACTGAAAACATGAAGATCTGAGTTCTATTGAAAAGTGGAAGACAAAAATGAGGTCTGATTTCTGAGTCTTACCAAAAACATAAAGAACAATAATGAAGCCTGATGACTGTATTTTATACAAGACATAGAGACAAGAAAAATAGCCTGATGTCTGTATTTTATACAAGACATGGAGACAAGAAAAATAGTCTGATGTATGTATCTTATACAAGACATGGAGACAAGAAGGAAGTCTGATGTCTGTATCTTATACAAGACATGAAGACAAGAAAAAAGTCTGATGTGTGTATCTTACAAGACATGGAGACCAGAAGGAAGTCTGATGTCTGTATTTTATACAAGACATGGAGACAAGAAGGAAGTCTTGTGTCTGTATTTTATACAAGACATGGAGACAAGAAAAATAGTCTGATGTCTGTATCTTATACAAGGCATGGAGACAAGAAGGAAGTTTGATGTCTGTATCTTACAAGACATGGAGACAAGAAAGAAGAACAAACACAAAAACAAGAACAGAAACTCACTGTCACAAGTAAAACAGATGAGGTCTGTAACAAAAGACAAGAACAGAAACTTACTGTCACAAGTAAAACAGATGAGATCTGTAACAAAAGACAAGAACAGAAACTTATTGTCACAAGTAAAACAGATGAGGTTTGTAATAAAAGACAGGAATGGAAACTTACTGTCACAAGTAAAACAGATAAGGTCTGTAACAAAAGACAAGAACAGAAACTTACTGTCACAAGTAAAACAGATGAGGTCTGTAACAAAAGACAGGAATAGAAACTTACTGTCACAAGTAAACAGATGGGGTCTGTAACAAAAGACAAGAAGAGAAACTTACTGTCACAAGTAAAACAGATGGGGTCTGTAACAAAAGACAAGAATGGAAACTTACTGTCACAAGTAAAACAGATAGGGTCTGTAAAAAACTTGGTGTGAACTACGACCTTGACCTGTATTGAGGCTATGTGACATTCCCGTATCTGGTTGATAAGATATCCCAAGTTGGTTCTCTCGTCTGTCGATAGATACCTCTTCTTTAAGCTGATGGATAGATAGGAAGACATGTGAAACATAATAATACAACGATAAACATAATAACAATGTCAATAAACACAACATCGTCATTCAAAAAAATAATATTATTAATCATAAACACAATATCATCATCCATAAACATTATATCAACATCCATAAACATAATATCACAATCCATAAACATCACATCACAAAATGAAATATCACAATCCATAAACATCACATCACAAAATGAAATATCACAATCCATAAACATCACATCACAAAATGAAATATCACAATCCATAAACATCACATCACAAAATGAAATATCACCATCCATAAACATCACATCACAAAATGAAATATCACCATCCATAAATATAAAAATAACATTCATAAACATAATATTCAAATCCATAACCATAATATCACCATCCATAAGCATCACAAGACACACAAATAATATTATCATCCCTAAACATAATGTCACTATTCATAAACAACACATCACAAAAGATAAATGTCACCATCCATAAACATCTCATCACAAAAGATAAATGTCACCATCCATAAACATTACTTCACAAAAGATGAATGTCACCATCCTTAAACAACACATCACAAAAGCTAAATGTCACCATCCATAAACATCACAGCACAAAAGATAAATGTCACCATCCATAAATATAATATCGCCATCCATAAATATATTATTGCCATCCATAAACATAATAATGCCATCCATTAATATAATATCACCATCCACAAACATAATATCACCATCCATAAACATAATATCGCCATCCATAAATATAATACTGCCATCCATAAACACAATATTGACATCCATAAATATAATATCCCTATCCACAAACATAATATCACCATCCATAAACATGATATTACCATTCTCAAACATAATATCACTATACTATTCATAAACATTATTTTACCATTTATAAACACAATATCACCATCCACAAACATAATATCACCATCCACAAACATAATATCACCAAATATTACCTATCAGACATTCTCCTAAATGTTACATTTCAGACATTCCCAAATGTTACCTTTCAGACACTCTCCCAAAGGATAATTTTCAGACACTCTCCCAAATGTTACCTTTCAGACACTCTCCAAAATGTTACCTTTCAGACACTCTCCCAAATGTTACCTTTCAGACACTCTCCCAAATATTACCTTTCAGACACTCTCCCAAATGTTACCTTTCAGACACTCTCCCAAATGTTACCTTTTAGACACTCTCCCAAATGTTACTTCACACACTCCCAAATTTTACCTTTCAAGCACTCTCCCAAAATGTTACCTTTCAGACACTCTCCCAAATATTACCTGTCAGATACTCTTCCAACTGTTACCTTTCAGACACTCTTCCAAATGTTACTGTTCAGACACTCTGAAATGTTACCTTTCAGACACAGCCAAAATGTAACCTTTCAGACACTCTATCAAATGTTACTGTTTAGACACTCTTCCAAATGTTACCTTTCAAAAATGTTACCTTTCAGACACTCTCCCAAATGTAATCTTTCAGACACTCCATCAAATGTTACTGTTCAGACACTCCTAAATATTACCTTTCGTAGACTCTTTGAAATGTTACCTTTCAAACACTCTGAAATAATACATGTGTGTGGTTGCAAGCAAGCTAAATACTACATACAACCACACCACCTGTCAATGTTTTCACAGCCTGAACACCTGCTTACTCAGCCACCATGTGACAACTACTTGCTTAGCCACCATGTGACAATATCTACTTACTAAGGTACTATGTGACATCTACTTACTCAGCCACCATGTGACAACTACTTACTTAGCCACCATGTGACAATATCTTCTTACTAAGGTACTATGTGACATCTACTTACTCAGCCACCATGTGACAACTACTTACTTAGCCACCATGTGACAATATCTTCTTACTAAGGTACCATGTGATATCTATTTACTCAGCAACCATGTGACAACTTCTACTTACTCAGCCACCATGTGACAACTTTTACTTACTCGGCCACCATCTGATATCTACTTACTCAGCCCTCATCTGACAACATCTACTTACTCAGGCAATATCTGACATCTACTTACCCAGCCACCATCTGACATCTACTTACTCAGCCACCATCTGACAACATTTACTTACTTAGCCACCATGTGACAACTACTTACTCAGCCACCATCTGACAAAATGACTCTGACTCAGCATCGATGAAAGTTCGCTTCCTCAGCCGTTCATACTTCTTTCCCTGCGGTGATAACCAAACAGGTGAATACTGGGGCTGTATCAGACATTGTGGTGATAACCAAACAAGTAAATAAGGTGACTGTATCAGACACTGTGGTGATAACCAAACAAGTAAATAAGGTGACTGTATCAGACACTGTGGTGATAACCAAACAAGTAAATAAGGGGACTGTATCAGACATTGTGGTGATAACCAAACAAGTAAATAAGGAAGCTGTGTCAGACATTGTGCTGATAACCAAACAGGTAAATAAGGGGACTGTATCAGACATTGTGGTGATAACCAAACAGGTAAATAAGGGGACTGTATCAGACATTGTGGTGATAACCAAACAGGTAAATAAGGGGACTGTATCAGACATTGTGGTGATAACCAAACAAGTAAATAAGGGGACTGTATCAGACATTGTGGTGATAACCAAACAGGTAAATAAGGGGACTGTATCAGACATTGTGGTGATAACCAAACAGGTAAATAAGGGGACTGTATCAGACATTGTGGTGATAATCAAACAGGTAAATAAGGGGGCTGTATCAGACACTGTGGTGATAATCAAACAGGTAAATAAGGGGGCTGTATCAGACAGTGTGGTGATAACCAAACAGGTAAATAAGGGGACTGTATCAGACACTGTGCTGATAATCAAACAGGTAAATAAGGGGACTGTATCAGACACTGTGGTGATAATCAAACAGGTGAATAAGGGGACTATCAGACACTGTGGTGATAACCAAACAAGTAAATAAGGGGACTGTATCAGACATTGTGGTGATAACCAAACAAGTAAATAAGGGGACTGTATCAGACATTGTGGTGATAAGCAAACAAGTAAATAAGGAAGCTGTGTCAGACAGTGTGCTGATAATCAAACAGGTAAATAAGGGGACTATCAGACACTGTGGTGATAACCAAACAGGTAAATAAGGGGACTGTATCAGACATTGTGGTGATAACCAAACAAGTAAAAAAGGGTGCTGTATCAGTGTGGTGATAACCAAACAAGTAAAAAAGGGGACTATCAGACACTGTGGTGATAACCAAACAAGTAAATAAGGGGACTGTATCAGTGTGGTGATAACCAAACAAGTAAACAGGCGCTATCAGACAGTGTGGTGATAACTAAACAGGTAAATAAAGGTGCTGTATCAGTGTGGTGATAAACAAACAGGTAAACAGGTGCTGTATCAGACAGTGTGGTGATAACCAAACAGGTTTCCCTGCGGTGATAACCAAACAGGTGAATACTGAGGCTGTATCAGACAGTGTGGTGATAATCAAACAGGTAAATAAGGGGACTGTATCAGACACTGTGGTGATAACCAAACAGGTAAATGAGGGGACTATCAGACACTGTGGTGATAACCAAACAGGTAAATAAGGGGACTATCAGACACTGTGGTGATAACCAAACAGGTAAATAAGGGGACTATCAGACATTGTGGTGATAACCAAACAGGTAAATAAGGGGGCTGTATTAGTGTGGTGATAACTAAACAGGTAAATAAGGGGGCTGGATCAGTGTGGTGATAACCAAACAGGTAAATAAAGGCGCTGTATCAGTGTGGTGATAAACAAACAGGTAAATAAACGCGCTGTATCAGACATTGCGGTGATAACCAAACAAGTAAAAAAGGGTGCTGTATCAGTGTGGTGATAACCAAACAGGTAAATAAAGGCGCTGTATCAGTGTGGTGATAAACAAACAGGTAAACAGGTGCTGTATCAGACAGTGTGGTGATAACTAAACAGGTGAATAAGGAGGCTGTATCAGTGTGGTGATAAATAAACAGGTAAATAAGGGGGCTGTATTAGTGTGGTGATAACTAAACAGAAGAATAAGGGAGCTGTATCAGTGTGGTGATAACTAAACAGGTGAATAAGGAGGCTGTATTAGTGTGGTGATTACCAATCAGGTAAACAGGCACTATCAGACAGTGTGGTGATAACCAAACAGGTGAATAAGGAGGCTGTATCAGTGTGGTGATAACGAAACAGGCGAATAAGGGGGCTGTATCAGTGTGGTGATAACCAATAAGGTGAATAAGGAGGCTGTATCAGACAGTGTAGTGATAACCAAACAGGTGAATAAGGGGGCTGTATTAGTGTGGTGATAACCAAAAAGGTGAATAAGGAGGCTGTATCAGACGGTGTTACTGTGGTGATAACCAAGCAGGTAAATATGGGGGCCATATCAGACAGTGTCAGTGTGGTGATGATAGAATACAGACAAACATCACACAGGGCTTGCATATGATTCCGGCACTCTGCTCTATTGCATGTAACTCTCTCAATTTCTGCATTCTTCATTAAACAAGGGGTTCAGTCCAGTATTTTTAGCCTCTCCTAATATTCTTCTCAATGCTGCCCTCGGACGTCCTCTTTTTCTCAGACCGTTTGTTTCCCATTTAATTTTAGTGCTTGTTTTGTATTTCTTTGTTCATTTTATCTCAGAGTGTACCCAATACATCTCCACCTTCTTTGTCTTACTGCAGTCGATGCAGGTATCTGTCCACACATTTCTCTGATCCTTACTCTTTCTGAATTATGTGCATAAATTTTCTAAGACATTTATTTTCAAATGCATTTAACTTTCGTTTCAAATCATTGGTGGTTCTCCAACTGTTGCTGGCATATGCTAGAACTGAAATAATATTAGAATTGTAGATTCATAGTTTGTCTTAAAAGCAGTCAAATCTGGAGATCCACATTTTGTTAAGGCTTTTAAAGACTGCAGCTGCTTTGCCAGTGTGTATCATAATTTCCTCCATAAAACGTGAACCCCCGTGTGGGTTCTGGGGCCCCATTGTAGGGGAAAGCAAGAATAGACCTACTGCCTCCCCAAAAGCATGTGGTAAGAGTCGACTAATTGGGGAGCTTCTTTTGAAGTCGGAGTGCATCTGCCGGAGAGGCAAGGAACCAACAGTCTGTATTCAAGAGAATGAGATCTGTAAAACTGATGCACATACAACACTCAGGTTCTGGAGCAGGACTGCAATTCAGTGGTGGACGAACAACCAGAACTTTCCGCCAGAGTGTACAGCTGGTGAACGTGAAGAAGAAGATAAAACGTGAAATAGCCCGTTACTTTTAATGGTTTGTTCTCTAGCATGACAGCTAAATGATCTGTTGTTGGCATCATTATTATATTTGTTGTCTCATTACTTATTTGTAGTCCTATTTTTGATGCTGTAGACAACAAACAGTCTGTTTTTCTCTGCATGTCTTTGTTATTTTGACTTAAAAGAAGAGTATCATCTGTGAAATCCAGATCTGCCAGTTGTGTATCCTCTGTCCAATCAATGCAGGCACTGCCAATGCAAAATTGTTCATTACCGAGTCAATGGTTAACCAAACAAGTGAGATAGTATGCAGCCTTGTTTCCACTTTCTACCAAAAACCAGTCACTTAGACAATTTTCAGTGCACACTACACATTCTGAACCATTGCATAAATTTTAAATAATGTGTACTATTTTGACTGGTATGCCGTAGCATTCCATAACTTCCTATAGTGAAATTCTAAGCTGCCAAAGGTTTTCTTGAAATCAAAATAATTCAGGATGAGAGGTTGTTGCTTCTCAAAGTGTTCTTCTAGAACAAGCCTTATGGTTATTATTTGCTCCAGACAACTTCTTCCAAGTCAAAAAGCAGCTTCTTGTTCTTCTTTCATGATTGTATCAACTACCTCTCTAATTATATTGAGGATCACTTTGCAAAAGGTTTTTGATATAACAGTGTAAGTTGAATAGAGAGTTATGAATCTGTGAACTATCAGGAGAGCATCCACCAAACACTGTTACCTGTGGCACTGCCCAAGACAGGGCTTTCCGTGAAGTATCATCCGGCTTTTGTTTGGCTGCAGGAGCATCATAGGCAGCTGTGGCAAAGGTCTGTGGCAATGTGGCCTCTTTCATAAACTCCTCCTCGCTCTTTCCAAACCTGACATCTCCAAATGAATCAAAATCAAATGCCTCAAATCCTATAGCTCTGGTTCTGTCCTGCTGAGATGGCTCCATGCTGCTTCTAGGTGACCAGACATCATCATCATTCTGGTCCACAGCAGGAGAAGGCAAATCTGAGTGATCATCATAGATGTTGGGAAAAGCTTCCCCAAAAGAAAAATTCAGGTCGGCAGTAGAGCTCTTTCCCAGACACACAGACTCTCTGCGAGCCCGGCTGTACAGGGGGTCAAAATAATCCAGAGACAGGTACTCGTGCTCCGGCAAGGTGTGGCCTAGTTTGATGAGGTCACCAGCAGGCACCTGGTCTGGGGTGCTGCTCGAGGGCGAGAGGTTCTCGTCAAAACCTGCTATTATTATGGGATGCATCTGGTTATCTATGGGGGACTGGGAGGACTCTCTAGCTGGGACACTACCGGAGCTTGCTGCTGGTAGGAATGTTATATTGGGCACATAAGTGATGCTGCTAGATGCTCCACTGTTAAGTGGGTTGACATCATAAGCAGCAGACGCATGCTGAGGCTCCCAGGAGAGATTTGGCCTGTTGCCAAAAGCTGCAAATCTGTCATTGTGGAATCCGATAGAATCTGGCCTTGTGGCATATGAGCTGGGATATTCCATCCTGGCGGCAGTTAGCAGCTCACTAGAAGGATATGGAACATTTAGAAATCCAGAGGTTTGTCTACCTGGCTGCGGGGGCATTGCTGAATGACTCAAGAGAAAAGGGTTCCAACCGTAGCCACCAGGTGGCTGTGTAGGTAGTGGAGGAGGGGATAAGCAGGCCTGTACAGCTATTTGTGTGGGCAGCAAATGTTTCTGCCCCACTGGTTGAATAAGATGGGTCGGCGATGGAGACTGACTACCACCATAACCACCGGTTTGATGTGTAGGTACTGGCGGAGGTGTTGAACATGACCGTACACCTAAATGAGTAGGGAGCAAATGCTTCTGCCCCACTGGCTGATTTCCAACATAATGGGTCGGTGAGGGAGACTGACTACTTGCCACATCTCTAAAAGCATGTCTAATATCGGGATAAATTGATCGATGGTTATCCTTAAGATCTTCCAGCGAGAGACTGCGTGGTCGTGAATCTTCAGCTTGCTCTGTGGAGGCTGCACTGAAGTCCAAGCCAACCAAATCTGGGTGATGAGTTGTAGAAATCTGCTGGAAATGTTCGGAGAAAGGATTCAATGAAGAACTTTCATGGGCAAACATCGACTGTGATTTTCCTGCAGTCTTTCGACCGTATCCATTATCCATGTACTGCCGAAAATTTATATCCATGTCATCAGTGCCTCGGCGTTCAACACCTGGCCACGCTGCTGCAGCTGGACGAGAGGGAACTGGTGGAGGTCTATACTCATCAGAATTAGCATCAGGTGATACTTGAACCGGACTCCGGCGGCGAGGTGCTGCAGCAGGGGGTGGGATTAAACCTTGCAGTGGGGACTGACGATCCGTTCCTGATGCCATTGTCATGGGTGTTTCTGTACAGAATAGCTAATCAAAGCTGATGTGGCATTTTCACTCAAGAGCTTCATTAAAACCTGAGGGGAACAACAACACACAGAGATCAGTCAAAACTAGGTACCTACATCCTTGTAACAATGACACTTTTCTGTTTCTGTGTGAATTCAGGAGGGTCAGTTGTATTTAGTTTATATCAATCTCTCAGGGATAATTCCAGAATCAAATCATTCCAGCTTATTTCAAACATTCTTTGAATAACTAATGTATTTATAACATTCTATAAATCACCCAGATCTATTTAAAACATTCTAATCATCATCCCATTCTATTTATAGCTTACTATAAACCTCCAGTTTATTTCTGATATTTTAGAAATCACCCCTGCCCTCTAAGAGTTATAACTGACTGACTACTACATAGAACATTCAGCAGCTAAGAGAAGGTGGTAGCTGCACAAATGGTTCAGACTATGGGCTATTTATATTTATGAATTTAACAATTTAAAAAAAAATTGTGTTTAATTAACATGTGCCACAATCAGGTGTTTTTTTTTTCCCAGTGACCTAGTAGTACCTAACTCTTTGAGTCCCAGGGGGTTTAGCATCACAGGCCCAGGGGTAGTAAAGAAAGTAATAAAATTGGCGCATCATGCGTTCATTGGGCTTCTAGATAGGAACCTATGAACGTATGATGCGTTCCTTGGGACTCAAAGACTTAACATAAACCTGGGAAACTGTTTGGGAAGTAAAGGCACCAAAGGCAAAGGATAAGGGAAACCCTAGCCAGCTGCAGCTACATTTAAGCCTTGAGTTACTGATAAGACCTCTTAAAATTATATATATATATATATATATATATATATATATATATATATATGTATATATATATATATATATATATATATATATATGAATCAAACAGTATTCATTCAGGTCTCATCAATATCAAGGTGGGGGGAGGGAAGTAATTATGTTGTTACTGTTCGATAAATAATAATGTTTGTTTACAATAACTTGAATAACCAAAATAAGTCAAGTATAAGCAGCTGACACATACAATATGATATGATCGTGATAGTTTAGTATGATATTAAGATATTACTAATACAATACAGCGACAGGACCTACCTCCGAAACATTCAAATGCCTATCCTATAGATACTTCTGCAGCACTTTAGTGACTGTCATGAGTTTCAGCTATCAAACAAGAACGTTTCTACCAAAAAGATACAGCCAGACTCATGGTCTACTGACCAGCCGATAGACGGGAGGCTGGCTCCAACACTTGTTGAAACAAACCAAGGAAACGGAGGAGCAAAACTGGGCTCAGTCCGCCATGTTTGTAGCCACATCGATGATCTTCTAGCACGGAACTGCAGCCTGGAGACATGGCGTAGAACTGTTATGTCCATGGAGCTGAACTTTCTCCCTTCTCACAGCCCTGTTACGTAACTTCCATCCAAAATGTGTGTGTGAATGAAATCCTGCAATATAAAATATGATTTTGAGAATGTCTGTAACATTTATGGACATGTACAAGTACACTACAAGTAATATATCAATTGATGGCACCATAAATATTGTGTGTCCGTGATGCTATAATGATGTACGGAGTCCTACCCTCCCCGTTTATTATTGATGTGTTATTTGTAATTTTTTTTCTTGTTATTGTTTTACCTTGCGTTATCTTTATTGTTATTTTATTTCTTGAATAACTATACTTTGACTGTATAATCAAAAGTTAGCTGTCGATTCAGACGCTGGATATCCTGGCTAAAACGTGCAGACGCTAGCTGGGATACGCCCACTTGATGAAACAGAAATAGCTCGGCATGATAATCAATATCAGCCGGCAAAGCTGGAGGCTGGGCGGACAACGCCCACATTCCGTACAGAGTAGCCACCTGCAGACTCTAGTACACACGTTGCTATCATCACTAGTGTCACAGAATCGCCTGATCGTAAGTGTATATCTGTTCAAGACGGTGGATGGACACAGAAAACAGAAAGTTTCACTTATAGCGACACAACATCCAGGATGAGAATGGAGGTGGAGGCAGCTTTTCGATGACCTGAGAGCAGCACAGCTCGACATGTAATTGTAACTAACTCATATAAGCTGCTTGGATAAATAGAACCAAGCATCCTACGCACAGAGTGGCTGGCATGGCTTGGTGAAATTCAGATCAGGAGCATGTCGTGGATCTTCTGTCCAGGATATTCAGGTGTGCAGGGTAATGTGCAGGCTGACAGACTGAGCTGTAAGCTGCTATGCTGTGTTAAAGCAGACATGGTGAAGACCTATAGGATCCGCTGACAGTGCAACAGTGCCGACAGAGAAGCCATAATTTAGCGCGGGTGGGGGAAAGGGTGGGAGGAGTATGGTGAGAGGTTCTGGAAGACATACAATATTCAACAGTGATGTGGACACACTGCTCCCCAAATCTTCGGATCCTCCTTACTAAGGGCATTACCGATGTCGGCGCGATCCATGGGGTGGCTGGGGCCGTTAGGGAAGATCAATGGGCTGGCTATGTGCATCTACGGCAGAACTGGCTAACCAGAGTTTCCTAACTTTTTTTTTTCTGCCATGCTCTACCGGAGCCTTTTTAACATTCTGATGCCCCCTATGTAATTTAAATTCTGGCAGTCCATTTTCAACCCCCCCCCCCCCCCCCAATCTCCGCCCTTTAACAATTAAACTGTCCATCTATGTCGCTTGGGTTCTACAAACGGATAAATGCAACAAAAGCAAACCTGCCAATCACTGCCTTTATTATATCACTTTTGCGATGTAGGCAGGGGGTCTTTGAGCCTGAGGATTTACGGCCCATGGCTAGAGCTGTCGCCACAAACTGTGCTGGTGAGGGTTTTATTTTTCCCCCGACAGAAAAATATCCCCATCGTTACCTAGAGCTAATCTATCAATCCCTGTCATGACAAGATTAAGGGAAACAAACTTGTAAAACACGATCACGGCTAATGTCAAGGCGAGTTGTCACCACAAATGTCACAGCCAGTTGTCACCACAAAATGTCAGAGCCAGTTGTCACCACAAATTTCAGAGCCAGTTGTCACCACTAATGTCAGAGCCAGTTGTCCCCCACAAATGTTAGAGCCAGGTGTTACCACAAATATCAGAGCCAGTTTTCACCACAAATGTCAGAGCCAGTTGTCCCCACAAATATCAGAGCCAGGTGTCACCACAAATGTCAGAGCCAGTTGTCCCCACAAATGTCAGAGCCAGTTGTCACCACAAATGTCAGAGCCAGTAAACACCACAAATGTCAGAGCCAGTTAACACCACAAATGTCAGAGCCAGTTTTCACCACAAATGTCAGAGCCAGTTGTCACCACAATTGTCAGAGCCAGTTAACACCACAAATGTCAGAGACAGTTAACACCACAAATTTCAGAGCCAGTTGTCACCACAAATGTCAGAGCCAGTTGTCACCACAAATGTCAGAGCCAGTTAACACCACAAATGTCAGAGCCAGTTTTCACCACAAATGTCAGAGCCAATTGTCACCACAAATGTCAGAGCCAGTCGTCCCCACAAATGTCATAGCCAGTTGTCCCCCACAAATGTCAGAGCCAGTTTTCACCACAAATGTCAGAGCCAGTTGTACCCACAAATGTCAGAGCCAGTTGTCCCCACAAATGTCAGAGCCAGTTGTCCCCATAAATGTCAGAGCCAGTTGTCCCCACAAATGTCAGAGCCAGTTGTCCCCACAAATGTCAGAGCCAGTTGTCCCCACAAATATCAGAGCCAGTTGACCCCACAAATGTCAGAGCCAGTTTTTACCACAAATGTCAGAGCCTGTTGTCCCCACAAATGTCAGAGCCAGTTGTCCCCACAAATGTCAGAGCCAGTTGTCCCCACAAATGTCAGAGCCAGTTAACACCACAAATGTCAGAGCCAGTTGTCACTACAAATGTCAGAGCCAGTTATCAACACAAAGAATATCATGTGAGCACTGTCCGCAGTGGAAAAAAAAGGGGGCAGCGGCGCTCTAGTTTTCACGTTGCTCCATTTTAACATCTTCTTCTTCTTCGCGTTCACCAGCTGTAAACTCTGGCGGAAAGTTATGGTTGTTCATCCACTTCTGGACTGCAGTCCTGTTTCAGAACCTGAGTGTTGCATGTGCATCCGTTTTACAGATCTGACTCATTTGTATGCGGACTGCTGGTTCCTTGCCTCTCAGGCAGATGCACTCCGACTATGAAGGAAGCTCCCAATTAGTCGAATCTTACGACATGCTTTTGGGTAGGCAGTGGGTCTGTTCTTGTTTTCCCTATAACAGAGCCTCGGAACCCACACGGGGATATTCTAACATGAGCACTAGGAAATGTTATGGAAAGTAAAGAGGATGGCATGATGCTGACCAGATCCTTAAATGAATGCAGATTCTATAAATCAAAAATATCAACGTAGTTGTTGTTGTTCGTCCATCACGAGCAAACAAAGACCACAGTTCATTCAAAGTGATAATTGGATTAAAGTGACTTGCGCAAAGACTTTAGATTTCAGGGATTAAGATTTGCGCAATTCGTCGACCCCACTCTCTCGCCTGTGTCCATCTTGATCAAATGGCAAGACAATATCAAGAGGACTGGAAATGGACCTAGGTGCAATGGATGACCAAGGCGTCTTAAGTACCCTGCTTTGTTCGAAGCTCTCCACCAGAGCCTGCTGGTAAACGCCTTCTTGTCCGTTGAACCATAATAATTTTCATCTGCACAAACCGCCGAGTCCAGTCTTTGCATGCAGGGTGAGCATAGTACTGTTTAATAATTAGACATCAAGTTGCCACATATATCTTGTATTTCACTAAGTCTGCCTCCAGTAATAGTTCAGCAATATTACATATTACCTGTGTCCAACCCCAGTAACAGTACAGCAGTGTTGCACGTCACCAGTTTTTGACAACTACAGTAACAGTACAGCAATGTTAGACATCACCAGTGTCTGACAACTACAGTAACATTACAGCAGTGTTAGACACCACC